GAGACATTAATGAAATATTTTCTAAAATTTCAATAAAGAGAATCAACCAAGCCGAGCACTGAAGGCTCATGAAATCAATGGGCAATCGGCGAAGCGAGGAATGAAAAAGAAAAAGCATGAGAAAGGAATCATCGGGCAGGAAACCCTTACTTGGATGTTTACAAACTAGGAGGATAATATGGGCTTTATGGCCATAAACTAGAAATTTAGAAAAAAGGGATGGCTGTTGAGAATCAAGGACAACCAGAGACCAGCCCTGAGTGAACGAAACCGGTTCAGCCATTCCAACAAAACTCCCCTCAGCTTCTTTGTTCAGACTAACAACGGGGTTCAGGGCAGGCCCTCCACAATGGGCTACTTTGCCGTGTTGACTATTTATGAATTAAAGTTACTTAAGAGAAAGCCGGTGCCAGAAGGACGCTCTGACCCCCCTGGACCGCTCTGACCCCCCTGGACCGGCCCCTGCCCCAAGAGGAGGAGAAGGGGGTTCAGGGCTGAGAAACAAACTAAGTAACAAAAAGGTAAACAGAAATTCCCCTGAATGTCCAAACATTAAGCAGCATGCTTTTAAAATAAAAAGTGAAGCAAAGCAATTTTTGAAATGGTTTGAGTTCCATGGTAATGAAAACATGACATGTCAAAGCATCGTCATGCAGCTGGACCATGGTCAGAGGGAAGTTTATAAACTTGAAATGCATATATCATGCAAATTATCTAAGCTGCCATATCGAGAGGCTGGAAAGAGAACAAGCAAACAAAGAGGCAGAAAATGCTAAAGAGAAGAGAAGAATTCGATGAAATAAGAAACAAAGGTACTCTAGAGAAAAGTAAACAAAACCGAAGGTTGGAGCTCCGAAACACTTAAGTTGGTAAACCACTGACCGGGCTGGTCAGGAGGAAGGAGGACGAGGACGCAGGACCCGCCGACGTGAGGAAGGAATCAGAGTGGGGAGGCCACGGCCCGCGGCGCACACGGATGATGACAGGAACATCCACGTGCCGGGGAATTTCCTGGAAAGACACGGCTGGGAAACTGACATTGGGAAACAGGAAACCAGGACCTGTTTGTGTTAAAGAAAATCCACAATTTGAACGTCTCCCCCAGTGAGAGCTCCAGGCCTAGATGGCATCGCAGGTCAATCCGTCCACATATTTAAGGGAAAAAACTGCCTTCTGTAAACCCTTTCACCGAATAGGAAAAACGAACTCCTTTCAAGTCTGTTCATGAAGCCGTGAATTTAATGCCCAGACCTGACAAGGACATCACAAAGAAGGAATAGTAAAGGCCAATCCCGTTGGTAAAAATGGACACAAAAATGCCAAACAAAAAAATTGTCAATCAAATCCAGTGACATATGAAGGAATACGGCATGACCCTGTGGGGTTTGGCCCGTGTGACTGCAAAGTTGGTTTAGTATTTGACAATCCATCAACGTAACCCACCACATTCATGGACTAAAGGGAAGAATGTATTATCATCATCTCAACCGATGCAGAAGGAAGTGCGTGAGAAAATGAAATGGCTATTCAATAAAAACTGGCAGTAAATACAAGGGAATCTCCTTTAAAGCTCCCAGCAGCATCAGGCTTCACGGTGAACTACCAGGCACTTGGCCCCACGGTGTGGGGTCAACAGCAAGAGGTGTCCACTGTCCCACCTGCATTCAGCACCACAGCGAAAGGGCCAGCCAATGCCACCGTGTGCACAGATGGGAAAGAGTCGTGGGTGACTAAGCAAGTAACAAATCTAAATGAATCTACACACTACCGTAATTAGTGAGTTTATGGAAGTCACCAAATACCCAGTCAGAAAACAGAAATCAGTTGGATTTCCATACACTGGAAACAGCCAGACAATGAAACCCTAGAATGGCGTCTACGACAGCATCAAACACGTCAAATACCTGGGAGAGAATCGGACGAAAGGGGCTTCACTACCGCGCACGGAAGCGCACACGGCTGCGGACGAGAATGCACTGAACGGGGCCGGGCTGCAAGACTCCGCGCGGCCACGACGCTATTTCTTGCCCAGACCGAACTCTGTAGGGTCAGCCCGGCGGGGTTAGTGTCTGTGCGCGTGTGTGAATTCACGGCGTGACACTGACATCTATATGGCAATAGAACCCGAGAAGACCGAGACAGACCTTGAAGAACAGTCAGAAGACCCGCAGGGGACGGTAAGACGCGTCGCCAGGCCGGGGCATTGCAACAGGCCCGCAGGTCGACGATGCGAACGGAGCCTAAACGCGTCTGCGCCAGATTTGCACGGGCACCAGCCCGGCGGGCGCCGGGCGTCCGGGGCTCGCTCTGCGGACCGCGCACCTGGGCAGCTGGGGGCGCGCGCGCGCGGTACTGACTGTTGTCCTCTCGCCAGTCTCCCTCCGAGGAGGCGGACAGCAGCCTCTTCCTTTCCCCCGGCTCCGGTGCGGCCTCTGGCAGCTCGCCCTTCTTCCCCCGGGCTCCGGGCCCTGCACGGAGAGCGTATCGGCGGGGATCCAAGCCTGGGGCAGCGGCCTGCGCAGGTTTGGGGGGCTGGCGTGGGCCCGGGGGACAGGTGTGGGATTCGGGGGCAGGTGCGGAATTGGGGGGCAGCCGCAGGGCCGGGGCGGCTCTAGGCAGGTCCGCAGGTCCCAGGGGCGAGTCTGGAATCCCTGGGGCGGAGCGGGGCTGGAACTCTCCGGGAACGGCGGGCCAGAGGTCCCGAGGGCGGTGGGACTGGGCGTGAAGTCCCGTCCGGGATCCGCGGGCACCGGCCGTGTGGGGGAGGGGAGCCGCGCTCACCCAGGAGTGGCCCCCAGGATCGAACAGGGCTCCCGCCCCCAGCCGCGCCGCCGGGCGTCCTGAGGTTGCCCCGGGAGAACGGCGACCGCTGCTCCGGGCTTTGTACCGGCGGGGGTCGCCGGCGGCGGAGCCGGGAGCGCGCGGAGCGGCGGCCGGCGCGGGGCGTCGGGCTGCGCGGGCGCGCGGGGGGTGCGGGACGCGGGGCGCGGCTCTGGCTGCGGCGGGGGCGCTGGGCGCGCGCGGGGCCGAAGGACGGGGAGCCCCGGCGGGGCGCGAGGCTGAGTTCGGGGCTTCGGTCCGCAGGGCGGCGGGGGCTGGCGTGGGGGCGGCGGCCAGGGCGCCGGGACGTGCGCGCCATGGTGTCCTCCGGGAGGAGGGTCCGCGAGTGGCCGTGCCGCCCCCGCCCCGGGTCACGCGGTCCCGCCCTTGTCCGCTGTTGGGGTCACACAGGCCCGCCCAGACAGAGCTGCACCAAGTCATAAAGCCCCGAGGGTCACAACGGGCCCCCGCCCCCCAAGGGGCCAGTCCGGGTTGCCTGGACGGGCCCCGCCCCGCGACCCTCACTCCTGGTGTCCCCCAGCTGGAGGGCCCTGGGCCCTGGGTTTGGGATCGCACAGCCCCATCCACGCCGTGGCCCTGAGGGCCGGCGGCAGCGCGCTGCTGTCACCTGACTGGCTGGGGGCATGGGGTGGCCAGTTCAGCCCCCTAGTCCCTCGGTAAAGCCTAGGACGGCCTCAGCGTCCCCAGGTCACCAGAGGGCCCGCGCTGTCCCCCCCCCAGGTTCCGGGTCACCACGTTCCCCGCCACCAAGGCGTCCCGCAGTCCTCCCCGAGTTCGCGTCCTTCTTGATCCTCATCTCCCCTCTGCCCCACCTTTGTGGGAGGGGCGAGTTGGAAAGACACGCCCACCCCCTTAGGTGGTGCTTGGGTCCATTTCCAAAACCTAGTTGTCACCTCTGTTCGGTTTTCAGTTATCTTTATTCTTTACCTAACTTCCCAAGGTAACCCCAAAGTGAGGTTCTTCTCCCACTTTGAAGAGATTGTGGAGGACTCAGCATGGGGGGGCGGTTCCTCCCCTGGGGGGTCCCCCTTCCCCCCCACTTCGGGCTCCCACCAGGCTCCCCCGTGGCCCCAAACTGGCCTCAGGGGTGGTTGTATAAATCGAGAATAGAGCAAAGGTGGCTCTCACCTCCACCCACCTTCCTGGGCTTCACCTTTCAGCTTTTTCGGAACCTGAGCGAGGGGACACCTGAGCCACATTTACAGGTTAACTCATTTGCTCAGGCAGTATTGACGGTATCGAAGACACTGTCAACTGATGAAGAATCATAAATCTTTAAGACCCCATATGTCTAGATTTTTCACGCTCTCTCTGAAATAAAGCACAAGCCAGTATTAAGCCCACAGGCGCCCCATGACTCTAAGATTTTGCGGAAGCCCAGAAAGACATCAGCATTGTCTGGGCTGTCCCGGCGGCCTCGTCCCTGCTCTGGAGCACCCCCACCTGGCCTCCTCCCTGGGAGCCGTGGCTGGGTGGGGCCCACACGTCCGCAGGTGACAGCCACGGGCTGTAGCATTTGTCCACCCGGCCCCCTGCCTGCCCTTGCCTTGGGGAGCCAGGGCAGAGAAGCGGGGGGTCAGTGCAGCAGCTGGGGTGCTTCCTTGGCTGGCACTCCCCACCTTTCAGGTGTCTTACCTGCTCCTTGTTGGGCCGATAACAGTGTGGCAGCTAGTCATTCGTGCTCAGAACGGAGGAAGCAGGGGGACCCTGAGTCCTCCACACCTGGCGGCGCCAGTTAGCCCTCATCTCCCGGGGCTCCTGCCCTGTGACCCTGATGGCCCAGCCCATGGGACCCGGGGACCGAGCCTGAACTAAGAAAGCGGGTCCCCCGGCCTCCCCCTGAACTGAGGAGCGAGACCCCGCAGGTGTCCGGCCTACGGGTGCAGGTGGCCGGCGGAAGACAACTCCTGAAACAAGCGGGGACAGCCCCCAGCTCGGGGGAGTCGTTGGTGCCCCGAGTCAACCGGGAGAAGCTGAGTGTCCCTGCGAGCGCCAGGTGTGCTCGCAGGACAGAGGGCCTGCACACTGCTTCCTGGTCATGATTTTAATCAAAGCAAATGTTATTCTCACACCCACACTGTCCCCGCAGTCTGGCAGGTGGGCAGAGGCAGGTAGAGGAGACCCCCGCCCGGCCCAGCCCCAGGTGAGTGAGGATCCAGACGAACTACTTGTTAGCAGGTGGTGAGGACTTTGGGGTGGAGCATCTTGCAGGTGATGGCCGAGGTCTGGCCTGGGGAGCAGAGGCAACAGCGCAGGAGGGAGAGGCTCCGCCCGGCCCAGGTCACCGGGGCCATTGAGACACAGAGACACGACCTGGTCACATTTCAAAGCCGTTGATGCGGCCCCACTTCAAAGGTTGCTGAGCAGCTGCAGTGTGTGGCTGAGCTCCGTGTGCTTGTTGACAAAGGGCTCAGGGGTGGGAACCGGCCCGTGACAAGTGCAGACGGGTGGCCCGGGCGTGGATTAGCACCCTGAGCAGGGGGGCCTTCCTCGGTGGCTGGGTGGGCAGAGAGAGGGCAGCGGGGTGGCAGGGGAACGTGGCATGGAAGGGACAAAGGTGTGGCTCTCCTGCCTCCACACTCTGGGAGCAGCAGCGTCTCGGGGTCTGGACACAGGACAGAGCACGCAGATCTGCCCTGGTCCAGGAGACGGTGCTGGGCGGGGGCTCGGTCTGGAACTCAGAACGGAAAGGCTGGGTGGGCGAGCCAGCCTGTAGCTGTCTGCACCCAGAAACCGGGGCGGGAGCAGGGTGAGGTGGGGGCGGAGCAGACAGCGGCCGCAGATCCCGCTGGACAGGAAACCTGGTGCAGCTGGTGCCAGCATCCAGCCCCAGCAAGGGCCCTTCCTCGCCCAGCACCGAGCTGGCCGACCCGCAGGGACAGATGGGTCAGCATTTGCCTGTTTGGAAATTAAAGTCCACCTGGCAGCCGGCGGCCTCACCGCAGGAAGGGGTTACAAGGTAGCAGTTTGGGGCTACGGGCACCTGGGCACAGCCATCACTGGGGCGACAGCGTCACTGGGCCATCTGCACCACCACGGCTCTCCAGGCTTTCTCCTTGTCAAACTCCTTCAGGGGGGTCCGGGCCACCTGGACCGAGACAGGCAGAGGCTGTTCTGCTGGCCTGCCGTATTCCAGCAGGTGGCTGCTCTGACGGGCAGCCCCCCAGCCTGGAAGGCTGGCAGGAGACCCCGGGGCCTGGGTTCCCTGCCGCACCTGTGCCCGCCCTCTGCAGTAATGGAGCCTGGGCAGGGGGGGCTCTCTGTGGGGCAACAGGCTGGCTCTGGGTGGGGGCGGCACCGGCCTGGTGGCCATGGTGGCTGGGGCTCCGGGGAGCTCACACTTGCTCCTGAGCCGGTTCTCTGAGAGGCTGGGGCCTGGCAGAGCCAGCATCTGTACACAGCAGGTGCTGGGGAAATAGGCCCCAATGGGGGGTGGCACAGTGCGACCCCCACACAGAACAGGGGTCGGGCCTGGCCCGGGCTGGGGGGCGGACCCAAGACCTTCAGGGACAGGGAGGCAGTTCCCAGGCCCAGCTCCCAAGTCCTTCCCCCAGTCGGCACCAGTTCACTGCACGTACAGCTCCGTTGGGGGGACAGAGCCGTCCCCACAGGAGCCTGATCCCAGCCAGGTAACCACAAGGGACGGTGGGCCTGAGGACTGTGGAGGGGGCGGCACCAGGACCGATGGAGGAGGTCAGGGCCACTGAGGACCCACCCGGGCAGCAGCGGGGGCCCCTGGAGGCCCAGGAGCAGCCTGGCGGGGACAGAGTGCCGGGGTGTGCAGAGCACTGGGTGTGAGATGGGCCCGAGGGTGGCCAGGCAGCACCCAGGCAGCCCTGCAGGACCCCACCCAGGACGTCGTGCACCGGAGGGCGAACCCCCAGCCTCTCAGGGGTGGGGATGGGAGGTGGGACCCGGCAGAGGTCCAGGCAGCCTGAGCTTGGCGGAGGGGTGGCCACGATGTCCCAGAGCCGGTGCAGCACCCCTGCCAGGAGCCTTGTGCACGGGCCAGGGACGGGCTTCTCTGGCCACTGGAACCCGGGCATGTGGGCAGGAGCAAACCCGAAAGCGTTCAGCCCCGAATACTTCTTCAGGATGGATTTGCATTTGCCTAGCTGGTATTAAAAAAATCCGGCATTTCACTTCCCCAAGATGTGTCCAGGGGTCTTGAAAGAGGTCAGGGGGGAGGGTGTCGCCTGGCACAGGCCCCGGGAGGGCCCCAGGAGGACAGGGAGGCCAAAGGCTCCGAGGCTCCTCACCTGGGCGGCGGGGCGCTCCTGGGGGCCGGCCGCCTTGAAGCCGGCGCACTGGACGACGGTGCCCGTGTGCAGGCCCGCCTGCAGCAGCAGCTCCAGCATCAGCAGCAGCAGGAGCACGTCCCGGGACTGCGGGGGAGGGAGGGAGACGGGCCGTCTCTCAGGCCCCCCGCCCCGGGCACGACCCCCGCCCCGAGACCCGGCAGCCAGCAACTCTGCAGAGAGCAGCGCCAGGCCCAGACGCCCCGGTGACAGAGCCCGTGTCGTGGTCTCAGCAGCCCCAGTGGCGTCTCGAGGACCAGCTCTGCTCCGAGCTCTGCTGCTCAGGCTCTAACAAGCCCCCCCACCCCCAGTGGCCCACGGCCGGCCCACTGGACAGTATGGCTGCTCGGTTCGAGGCTCCCGTGCCTCCAGCAACCACTCGGGTCAGTGGGGAGCCAAGAACGCCGACGGGGCCACCCGGTGCCCCCTGTGGGGCGGTGTGCACAGCATCACGACCTGGATGGCTCGTCCACTCACTGGACGGGCTGGTGACCTGGGTCACATGGACTGTTGCGTGTATGGAAAATAATACAATAATTAATAAACAGTAACACAAGCCCCGGCTGGCGTGGCTCGGTGGATTGAGCGCCAGCCAGTAAACCAAAGGGTCACCAGTTCGATTCCCAGTCAGGACACATGCCTGGGTTGTGGGCCAGGTCCCCAGTAGGGGGCGCACGAGAGGCAACCACACATGGATGTTTCTCTCCCTCTCTTTCTCTCTCCCTTCTCCTCTAAAAGTAAATAAATAAACTGTAAAAAACAACAGTAACGCAAGAACGAACCGCTTCCTGCTCTGCACCCTCACAACTGCGCACCCCCTTTGCCCCCGCCTGCGATGCTCTGTGAGGAAGGAGCCCCCCGGCCCCGGCTCTCGGCCTCTCTGCACAGCACCCCCCACAGAGCAGGGCTGCTCCCGCCGTCCCCCCCGCAGGGCCCCTGGTGTCCGGACGGCAGCTGGGACACTGTAGGCAGCTGAGTGGCCATCTCCTCGCCCGCTGCCGCCTCTCGTGGGAGCGCCGCCTGCTTCCCTCTCAGTGTGAGAGCCAACCCGCAGGCAAAGGTGCTGGACAGCTGTCCCTGTGGTGCCCGAAGGACATCCTGTCACTCCCTGTGAGGGATGCGCGCCTCCCTGGAGTCAGTGCAGGACGGCCGCCTCCGCTGAGCCCACAGGGAGCAGGCTCACAGGTGGGCGCGTCTCCCAGAAACCGACCCCGCCTCCGAGAAGTCAGAGCACAGGGGAGGTGGGGGGACTGTGCCCCAAGGCACATTCTTGGGATGATTCATGGAAAGTGAGTGAACTGGCAGCAGGGGTGTCCCAGGACAACTGGGGCACCTCAGTGTGACAACTGGCCATAGGGGCGGGGCCTGGGCGGAGCTGCCCCACCCGGGGTCTGAGGGGCACAGGGGGCATCACCCCCTCAGTGGTCTCCACGGGGAGCCAGCTGGAGCTGGCCCACGCCCTGAGCGGTCAGACAGCGCGTGGGATGCTGGCTGGGAGACAGTCCCCAGGTGCTCCGCACGGTGTCGGTGGCTTTGGATGAAAGATGCACACCTTGAGGGCAGGCGGGTGATCTTCAAACACCTCCATGACCCTCCTCGCGCTGAAGGTCAGGTACCCGGCGGCTGTGAACAGCAATGGCGCCGAGAGGCTGCAGATGGCCATCAGCACTTCCACCTGCGGAGCAGAAGGCCGAGGTGGCTCGGGTCCCCACTCCAGCCCGCCACACGCCTGCCCGCCTGATGCTGAGGCGCCGCCCCAGTCAGCCCACTGGCCCCACACCCTCATGCACTGGGAGCCCCAAGTTTCCTCAGTGTCCACAAAACGGTCCGTAGTGCCAGGAAACCACCAGCCGAGGCCTGCCTGGCACCCTGTCCCCACATTGCAGAGAGGCCACACGCGTCCAGGTGTCAGGGCTGCGTCCCACACCAGCACCAGGCGCTCCGGCTGGACCTGTGATGGTCACATCCCAGGACTGGCCCTGGCAGATGCGGGTCAGAGGGACAGGGGGCTCCTCCCACCAAGTACTCAGCCCTTGACAGCCCAGTCCTGGGGCAGGCACCCCACGGCCCAGAGGCCTGGCTCCCACAGGGCAGACACCACACAGCGGGCCTCGGGACCCTGGGGATAGGGTGCCACCTACCAGACACCTGCTGGGACACTCTGCCGTCACGTGACTGGCGATGGCGCTTGGAAAACACTGAGAGGAAGACAAAAGGAAGACTTCAGAGGTGACCGATCCTGGGAGAAGTAAGACTCCCAGTGGCGTCCTCTCGGGTGACAGGCGCCGCCTTGTGGCCAGGAGGGGACAACTGAGCCCCACTGCCGCTGTCTCCCTGCATCTGCTCTCGGCAGGGACGCCGTCCTAGGCCCGTGCGTGGCGGGTGGTGCAGGTCTGCGGGACCGGCCAGCGCAGGCCGAGTGGGCATCAGCAGGGTCCGCAGCGGTCCCAGGCCCGGCTCGGGTGGCACTCGGCCCCTGGCCACCCCGAGGAATCACGGGCATGTTGCTCCGGGTTTGGGATCCAGGCAGCCGGCTGCGCCGGTGCTGGGGGACGACCTTGGCCTCGCTCTCCGCGCTGGACAAATGTCTCTGGTGCGCACCACCCAAGTGCGGCCCAGGCCTCTGTGTCTGGTTGCCTGGGTTCCTCCGTGACCAGACCCAGGAGCCCAGGAGGCACCGCACCTCAGCGCCCCCCCAGCCACGCTGGCCCAACCACGTCGACCACGTCGACCTGGTGCCGGATGCTGTGCTGAGTGTTTACTGGTATTTAATGCAAAACAATGGTGTATGCTAAGTATTTTCTGAAATGTGTATCAGGTTACGAAGCTGTGTTAGAGATTATGAAATTATATAAAATAACAAGTATTGTTAGGCTAAAATATCACAAAAACTGTAAAACAACAAAAGCTGTTACAATGACAAGCAGCTGCCACACTGACCCGCGGGGCTGTAGGTGCCCCGGTGCCTCCCGTGTGCCCACCCGCTTCTGCCCCTGTGGCCTTCCTGCCAGCGCCGCCCAAACGGAGCCCAGCAACCAGCCGGGCCAGCCCTGGTGAGAGCGGCTGGTCCACCCGCAGGCAGACGAGGGCCCTGCTGGCTATACTCACGGCCACTAAGATCCAAAAGAAGGTCACCGAGAGGTGCGGGCTGGAGACGGCGTCATCTACATTCAGAGCAATGACCCCACCCAGGACTGCAGAGACACCGGCAATCACCTCAATGACCTGTGGGGCAGAGCATGGAGGCGGCGTCACCAGGGGGCAGGGGACCGTCTGCTGGAGTGTCCCTGACACGCAGGCAGGGTGGGGAGGCGCGATGAGCTTGGGCGGAGGGTCAGCACGCTGGAGAATGACGTCCAAAAGCACCGAGCACTCGTCCCTTCCAGCCTGAAATCAGCGGGAAAAGGAAGCCACTCCCGCCAATTCAAAGGCAAATGGGAAGCAGCCCAGACAGACAGCGGCAGCGACCGCAGGTCTCTGGCTCAAACAGTTCCCCAGGCCGACGGGAACGGGCTCCGAGGCTGCAGAGAGGACACCCGAGGGCGTGAGAGTGAAGGACATCAGCCGCTATTCATAGAGGCCACGCAAAGCGGAGTGAGCAGGAGAGAGATACTCGGGCAGGTGGTAACCAGACACAACCTACGTACTTCAAAGCAGCCAGTACGGATTCTATGCCAAAACCATTCTACAGACGGAGTTCCTATGCAATGTCGAAAAAGAGAGAGAGAGAAATTCACTGGGACGAAACACCACACTGGTGGGAGTGTAAGTGAAAACACAGACTCCAAAACCCTCAGTGAACGTCTACAGACCTACAGGGGGAAACCGGTGCTGCCAGCTCAGGATGGGGGTACGCAGCTTTCACAGGATGAGCGGACTCAAAAAAAAAAAAAGGACAGAGTAAAACAAGAGGGCGTCCACATGACTCATCCTTGAAACCAGGGCACTGTGACAGGGATGGAGACACGCTTCAGGGCTCCTCGGGGACAGCGGGCGGCCACCGGGACCGGCCACGCTGCCTCAGTCAGACCCGCAGCCGTGGCCAGCCTGCGTCCGCGTCCGCGCCCGTCTCTGCCTGGGTAACACGCTGCCCTGAAAGGCAGCCCCTGAGATGAGGGGTCTTGTCCCGGCAACGTGACAGGAGCCGTGTCCCTCACAGATGGGGGCACATGCCCCATCCAGGCAGCCACAGCCCGTCTCCAAAAAGGAGCCAGGTGGCTTAATCCAGTCTGGGCTGTCCCTGTCCTGGAGCGAAATGACATAACAGGGGAAAGAAAGGGAAGTTTCCTTACTGAGTAGGATTTCAGGACCCGCACAGGAAAGGCCACTTCATACAGCATGCTGCTGCTGTCAGAGACAGGACCCTACAAAGAAGTGACAGGGTGACCTGGGCTCGGCGGGGTCGCCGAGCAGGGTCCCCAAACGTGAGCAGCTGGTGGTCACAGGTGGCTCCCAGGCTCCGGTGCATAAGCTCAAATACACACCCTCCTCGCGTGGACGCCCAAGGCGGCTCTTTCGGCAGACCGGGCTCTCTCTGAGGCACCGCCAGGCAGCGGTGGAGCCCGGCCCCCCGCAGGTGGTGAGCATTCTGGGGGGCGGCCCTGCATAGAGGGAGCATGGCCCGCAGCCCGGGTGCCGCCCACACTCGGCACCCCTACCTTGTGCCTGCCCGGCGCCTCGCTGGACCTTGCGGAGACAATCACAGTGGCCGCCATGAGCAGCTCCAGCAGCAGCAGCAGGATCAGGTTGAAGTTTATCTGCCGAAGGACAGCACAGCTCTGTGGGACCTGCTGTCTCCCCTCTGTCACTGCAGATGGCTCCAGAGCCGGGCCCCGGCACCCACTTGCTTGGGCAACGCTTGGGGTCCCAGACTAGATGGCCCCACACGCCTGCTTTCTCACCACTCCTAGTTGGAGGGCCGTGCCTGGCCCCCCCGAAGGGAAGAAAAGCCACGTCCACCCCAAAGCCTGTGCGCTTTGACTGTGGCCCGAGTGCCCAAGACTGAGGACCCCGAGGCTGTGGAGGCACCACTCCCTATCCTGACTCTGTGGGTAGTCACATGAATCTAACTCTATGTGAACATGAACAAGGAATGCACTAAAGATGTTGATTTCACACCAATTACTAGTCATAGAGTTGCATACTAAAACATGTGTTTCACTGTGTACAAACTGGCCAGTCCAGAGCCGGCCCCACCCTTTCTCTGTAGGGTTCCTCCTGGGGGCCACCCTCCACCTGCCCTCAGCACCTGGGCCAGGGATCTGACCACCAGGGGCAGCCCCTCTGCCTGAGCCCTGACATTGTTCACAGAGCCCACCCTCAGCCTGCTGCCCTGCCGTTCCTCCCCGGGACGCCCCAGGGAAAGCTCCTGTGCCCTCTGTCCCTGCTCCCTTCCACCCACACCTGCCTCCTGTGTGCCCTCCCTTGGCTGGTGTCCCCTCCTCTGTGGCCTCACCACACCTGCACAACAGTAGAACCCACGTTTCAAACCAAATGCGTTCATTAGTAAGTTTGAGCTCTGTACTCTTTGTGCAAATCCTTTTGAGTCTTAAAGTGTTTCAAAAATTTTTTTATCAATAGCACCTCTCTGTACCACCAATAATCAATACGAAAATATAACTAAAAAAAAATATGCCCTTCATGGTAGCAACTAGGGACTACTTAACGAGGAGCACAGAAAACATTCAAACTCTCACAAAGGACACCCAAGGTGGTCTGAGAAAGTGGAGAGGCAACCCATGTGCTCAGACAAGATGGTAAAATAAAGATGTCAACTCCCATTAAATTGTTCTGCACACTTAACATGATCATAATGGAGTTCCGGCTGCAACTTTTTAAGGAACTCAATAAGCTTGTTCTACGATATATTTGAAATAAGAGGACAACTTTGAGGATGGGGGAAACGGTGGGGCATTCTCCCAGGAGACAAAAGACTGACTACAGAGCCATCGCAAGAGCGGGGCAACCGGTAACAGACTGACCCACGGCAACAGCGCCATCTGCACTGGCGGGCTGATTCTCTTTCTAAACGCAGGTGCAGCCACCTTGACTACACGTGAGCAACGATGTTCGTTTCAACAACAGTCATGGCGTCAGCTCAACCCTAAGAAGATTCATCAACTTGGAGTGCCGTGAAGAAGTGCAAAACTGTTCAGTTGTGACACAGCACAGCTGTGAAAATGTCACTACTGTGGAACAGCTCCACGGGGTGACAGCACAATGGCATGCCCTGCCCCGGGGCACACATTCAGCCCCAGCCTGGGGGGGCCAGCTCCCAGAGGTTAAAAGAGCTGGCTTCTGGTTTCTGATTGGTCAGACTAGAGTTGCTATGATTGGTTGAAGCTCCACAGCTCTGATTGGGCGGGAGAAGCCTCGTTCCTATTGGTTGAGACAGGAGCCCAGGGACTCCTCTATACCCAAGGCTCTCTGACCACAGGTTGGTGAGAGGCTCCTGGGCAGAAATGGCTGCGAAGTTCTGCTTCTTAAAGTCTCAGCCCAAGGAGTCACTGGTTCCGCCATCGTGGTCCTGAGGTTCTTGCATGTGTGTGGTTCCAGGTCCCCAGTCGTGGGTCCTCAGTGCGAAGCTCAGGCGCCCACGTGGCAGCAGGCACCCGAGGAATGCTCACTGCGGATTCCGGCGCAGTGGCTGGGGGAGGCGGGAGGGGGTGGGGGGTGCCTGCAGGGCGGAGCTCCAGGTGAGCCTGACATGGCGGGCCCGTCGGCCATTCGAGAAGGCTGTGCAGCAGGTGTCAGGCTCCCCTCTCAAGTCAGTTACCTGTTCTGTGACCCCGGGGCAGGTGGCGACGTGACTGCTGTAGATGAGGTGACTGGGTCACTGCCTTGGTTGGGGTGTTTGCCCTGAAGGACATTCTGCGAGGGCCCACGCTTTCTGGTCACACGTGCAAGGCCCTCTCCAGGGTTTGCGCGTGGGGGCATGCACACGGCGTCTCCGTGCATGCGCTTCTTCAGAACATGCTACTGAAGCCGGACACTTCCAGGCCTTGGAGTCACGGGACTGGAAGTCAGTGCCCTGGGGCTTCTGCCCGTCTGGTGTCGGGAATGGCATCTCCCTGTGGTTTGAATTTACTTCCTCCAGTAACTCACCAGGCTGAACGTCGCTCCGGTGCCTGCACAGCGTCCTCCTTGGGCAGCGGCTGCGGCCCTCTCCTGGCGCCCTTGACTCCCTTGTGGCTCTGAGCAGGGGTCTGGGGTGGGCCTTCGCCCCAAGAGAGCTCGGGTTCCTTCCTCACCGTGCCGCGCCTGTGCCCCTCCTGGCTGTGCCCCAGCCCTCTGGGTCGGGTTCGGGGCTGGGTCTCCGGGGCGGTGGGAGGGCGGCAGCCGGGCTGCTGTGCACAGCGGTCTCACTGGGGATGGCTGTGTGACAGCTCCGGGCCGCAGGGTCCAGGCCCCCAACCCGTTCTTCAGGGGGCGCCCCCTCCCTGGCCCCAGGCACTGCCTCAGCCGGCCAGGTGCAGCAGATGCCTTTACTCGGAACCCATGTCCACATGGTCAGGGTCTCCTTCATGAAGAAGCATTAGGGTCCCGGGCAAGTCCTTGGTGTTTTCTCTGGGACAGTCCCGCACACTCTCATTACATTTATACTCAGGAACTTTCTGTGATTAGGTCCCTAACGTGTATCTGGGTTTAAACTATATTTTCACTGTTGCTGGCATAGACGGTTCTTTTATCCCGGCATTCACACCTGGCAACCTGGGTGCCAGCCCTCGGCAAACCCAGGGCCACATAAGTAGCAAACTTACGTTGTCTTCTGTGGACAATGGCGTGAGCGTTCCTCTCGGACCCGCGAACATCTGTCCATTTTTTGTGCCTTACTGGCCCGGCTCAGCCTCCCTCGGGGCCTCCTGTCGTCCCCCTGGTCTAACGAAGGTGGCTCAGCATCAAAGCCGGAGCAGGGGCGTTTGTGAGGAACCTCCGACCGGGTCCTCGTTTTCACGAGATCACGTCTCTCAGCTCTGGGATGGGAAAGTCTGTCTCCTCGATTTTCTTAGAGGTGCGCCTCACCACCAACAGCCTCGCAGACGTGATGAGACATGTCACTGTGCTCCTGTTAAGTTTCTTTAAGTATGGAACACTTCACAAATTTGGGTGTCACCCTTGTGCGGGGGCCATGCTAATCTTCTCTGTGTCGTTCCAATTTTTAGTGTCTGTGCTGCCGAAGCGAGCACTGTTCCTGTTTTAACAACTTTCGAGAAAGAGGCTTTAAAATTTTATTGATAAATCCATCCACTGGAATCAGTGGATGAAGTGAAGTGAAGAAGTGAAGAGAATTCTGTTCTTCAGGAGCATAAATAAAATTCTCCAACTTGTCAGACTCAAGAGCCGTGATGCACACCTACATGGGTCCCACCCACAGACAGTGCTTGGTGACACTGTGGTCACACGCCCCCGTGGCAGATGCTCCACGGGAAGACGCGCCTGGAGGAGATGGGCCCACGCCTGGGACCCACGTGGCCCTGGGACTCACGTCTATTGCTGACGGGTTCAAGACCAGTTTGCAGCCGAACCAGATCAGGCACGTGGTGGTCACAGCAAACGTAGAGACGAACAGCATCTGGAAACTGGGGATCTGCAGAGAAGATGGGGGGGCGCTTTACTCTCCTCTGTGTAACTGCAGAAGTGAGGGCAGCAGTGACCTAAATCCAGGTCACTGATGAAAACTCCTAGAGACCGGGACACATTAGAATTAGCCAGGGTGGGTGCCCCGCCAGGGCCTGGGGACAGAGGGAGGGGGGCCCTGGGTGCTGAGGGAGGTGGAGGTGCACTCCGCCCATTCACGGGTGTGTGCAGGCACATGTACACAGAGGTGCACACACGTGTGGACACGTGCACATAAGCACACACACAGAGGTGTGCGCACAAGTGCATGCACATTCACACACATCTGTGCACACAGGTGCTCTCGTGCACACGAGTGTGTCTGTCAGCCCCACAGGGCCCGGGGTCTCTTCCACAGCCTGCGGGCGCTGCGGCAGCCCCCAGGGCACAGAGACGGGGCAGAGGCTGGACTCACCACACTGACGTTCCTCCTGGAAACGGCGAAGCTCACAATGGCTGCGGGAACGCACTGGAAAGAGAGCGGAGCTCGGTGAGCAGTGCTCAGTCCCCACACACCCTTGAAGCTCAGTCCCCCGGGGGCCCAAGACATCGGCGGGACCAGTGTTGCTGGCCCACTAGACATGGGGTTTTGTTCGACGTTGAAAGGTCCTCAGATCTGTCAGAGTAATTTGTTCTGGAAAAAGTCTTAACGTCTCTGGTGAGACGAAAGACGTGCACTGACGAGTGGTGTTCTAGGTGCACTTGGCAGCCGGGCTGACGGTTCCTGCGGCCGGAGACCAAGCGCGGTCTCCACCTGAGAAGTCACTCCTCGGGGAGGAGGCAGACCTGGCCGGGAGTCCGGGGCCTCAGCAGGTTCTTGTCGGGGGCCCATGCTGACCCCACAGAAGCAAAGGACAAGAGGGTGCCGGAAGGTGGGGAGATGGATGGGGGCGGGGAGGTGAGCAGGGACCATAGCAGGTGCTGCTCTTGTGGGAGACAGACCCTGCAGACCCCAAGTTGGGGCAGCACAAGCTGAGGGGGACACACAGCAGTGGTTGGATTGGGGTGGGGGGGCCACTGAGGGCTGAGGGGGAGCTGGGGGGACCCCATGGGGACCTGTCTCTCCAGCCTGTCGCCTGAGGGTGCAGGGCACTGCCAAGAATTTTGCTGGGACCCTCAGCCTAGGTGGGCATTTCCCCGGCGCCACCAGGGTCAGAGGTCAGGTCACTGTGGCCCCAACAAGGGCTGCTCCAGTGGTGAGGCCCAAGGGCCACCTAGAAGTTTCAGGGGTGTCTGAACTTCTGGCGTCTCTGAACCACACTGGGAGAAGAAGAGTTGTCTTGGGCCACACGTTAAATGCACTGCGAACCGTAATCTCTAAACAATCTCATGTGTTAGGTGAATGTACGAGCCGGCGTGGGGCTGCACTCCAGCCGTCCCGGCTGCATGCGGCCCGCGGGCTGCAGGTTGGACGCCCCTGTGGAGAGAGCGGCAAGGGCAGGAATTCCCAGGAATTTTGTTCTAAGGCAGCAGAGGCTGGCACCATGGGGTGGGGACGTGGTGTCGGGGGAGCTCGTGTCTGTGTTTCCAGGTGTCCGGGGATGGTGACGGGGCTAGAGCGGGGGAGCAGGCAGGCAAGAGCCCTGCGATGAGCCCTGGGACGTGTTCTGGGCCGGCCGCTGGCCCCCACAGGCAGGGCACAGGCTGTGGGAGGGTGGGGTGCAGCCCTGTGTCCTGCAGCCCGAAGCCTCTGAGGCCAGAGACCGGCGTGAGGAGGCTCTGAACGAGTGGCCAGGGACGGTGACGCGTCACTCCCAGAGCACAACCCCAAACGCACATCCGCAAACTTCGTGCCACAGGTGGGACCAACGACTCTGCTCACCGAACCCGCGGCGCAGCGCAGGTAGTCCATCTCGGAAGGAAACACGTTTCCCAGGTACAGCGAAAAGCCCGAGGTCACCAGCAGGCAGCCCTGCAACACAGCGGGAGGCTCGGGTGACAGCACCACACATCGAAACACCACGGAGCACAGTCGTCTGTATGCACCAGCCTCGCGCCTGGATCCCGCCAGACCTGATTCCTGAACAAAACACGGCCACAGCCCACCCTCCCTCCAGTGTCAGGCTATGTATGGGCTTCGCCGTTTATTTGAAGAAGAAAATTTAAGGCAAGAAATGGCACCTCTCCCCAGAAAACACCCTCGCCTCAACATGTGTGATTTCTAGGCCTAGGATCCACACCCCCAGGTCCAGGCATGAAGCACCATCAGGCTCGGGGCTGGGAGATGGACGCTCACTGCAGAGGGCAAGGCCGCAGAGTGGCTGGGGGTCGGTGTTAAAGGTCCCTCAGGCCCAGGGTCTGGGCAGGGGGCCTTGCGTGCCCCACCATGATGGTAGTGCTGGAACCCAGGAACCCAGGAGGCTGGGGTGGGTAGCAAGGTCCCGGCCTGGGTCCTGGCTTCTTAGGCAGGGTGGCAGGGAGCCCGGGGTTCCCTGTGTGAGCCATGGGGTTTCCCACGCTCACACAGGCCAAACTGACTCCTTTGGTCATCACGTGCCTATCCAAGCACGTCTGGAGGTGACTGTCCCAGGACCCCCGGCAAGTCTCCTCCAATGTGTGGTCCCCTGAGGCCGGACCCCCAGCTCCCTGCTGGCCCTGCTCCTTGGCCCCTGGGCCTTCTCTGACCCCATGGCTGGCCCCCAACCCAGGATACCACCTCACCGTCACACTGTGGAAGGTTCCTCCCCACCTGTGCAGGGTGACTCCAGATCCCCCGCAGCAGCTGAGGGTCCTGGAGGTCACCCTCACACTATGCATACCCTGTGAATGGGCAGGGGGGCCCTGGGCTGTCCCCACCGTGACAGGACACAGTGCAGCCCGAGCCCAGAAGCCTGGGGCTGGAGCCATAAATGCTGGTGAATGGAGGGCAGCGATTCGTACAGCACCGCCCCACAGGGCCCTCCAGAGCAGAGGGAGGGAGCTGCTCTGTCCCAGTGGGCCCGGGAGCAACACCGACTGGGGACACCTCCTGGGGACGATGACCCTGTGGCATTGGCGGGGCTACTCACCCCCATCAGCACGGAAAAGACCCACGTCTTGTGACTGAAGCAGGGGGGCAGCCTCGAGGACAGCTGCAGGTCGCCGGGCTTGGCATCCGCGTAGCTCCCCACGTCGGGCCGTCCCCGCTCCAGGGTTGCCATCCGGTCATAGCTGGGCTCCTCCCTGCACGCCTCCTCCCGCGCCATGGCGCCGGGGTGGACACTGAGCTCGGTGCCCACGGCGGCTGTGCCTGGGACCCTGCGCCGCCGCCGCTGTTTTGGATCACTCTGAAAGCTCCAGTTAAACTGAGGTGCTTCTGGTGAAAGAAGTCTTGCTCGGACCGAAGGGCTGCGAATTTGAGGAAGAAGACAAGCACTTCACTTGATAGTGACTAAAACCACTTTCTCGGCAAAACCTACCTGCCCGTCTGCGTTCAGGGTGGGGCGTCGGCCTCTCGGCCCCCCACTTCCCAGGAGGCACTGGCTCCTCCTCCAAGCCCTTCAATTGCTCACGGTGGTAACGGAACCAGTGTCAGACCCTGTCCGTCCGTCTGTCCGTTGGTGCTCACCGCCCGGCTGTTTCTGGGGCAGCGCTGGTCTCTGGGTGATGGGCTCGCTGCTGCCCAGGGCTTCCAGCAACAGCTATTCACAAAGGAACAAAAGCCCGGCAAAGCTGCACTTAAGCCAGAAGCAGGAGGACCTCGTCCTGAATTTCAATGAGATGAAGCAGCGACCCTGGAAAGTTCTCGATGGTTGTGTAACCGTGTAACCGCTGGCACAGAGCCTTGCCAGTCCTGTCTTAACTCCGCCAGGGAACAATGGGGTCCTGAGGTCCCACTCAGGGCAGGCAGACAGGTCATGGGGCGCAGGGACCGGCTTCTGGGAAGAAGCCTGCCTGAGTGGAACCCCCAGCACAGTCCTGCAGGAGGAAGCGGGTGCTGTTTGGCAGCATAACTTTCTATTCAAAGGCCTCACTATATCTCCTTTCAAGCAGCCTTTTCCCATCCCCCGTGATCACGTGAGGAAACCTCCCGCACAGCAGCACACACACATCTGCGCTCAGCCCGCTGGGCAGCCCTAGACCTGCCCCGGGCTCTGGTCTGCGGTCCCACTGGCAGCCTCTGAGCTCCCAGGCGCCCTTTACTTCTCTGCTCACTAGGCAGAGAAAGAGGCCAGGGACGCACTTCACTGGGACACGCTGGCACGCTGACAGGCGCAGCGAGAGTCTTTGTGCACATGGCCCGAGCCCCGCACTCTGAGAGCCGGGTCCTCCAGCACAAGACCCCGTGGAGTCTGAGCAGAGTCATCGTTTCCACTCGTGGGACGTTGTGTTGTCTTAGCTTTTCAGCCTCGCAAGGAGGGCTGCTCTTCACACACTATAACCTGTGAAGGAAAAGAGGGGACTGTGAAGCCTCCCAAATGTCTTTACTGGCTGCCTTTTAAAGCCATAAGCAGAGTTGGTAGGAATTGGTCGAGCTCTTCTGTGTTTCTTCCTTTAATTGAGTTTTGAGTGTGCACTTCTATGACTTACAAAGTGACCCCCTGATATTTCCAGCACCCAGCTGGCACCACACATAGCTATTACCATATTACTGATGATATTTATTCCCTGTGCTGGGCCTTACATCCCCACGACTATTCTGGAGCCACGGACCTGTACTTCTCCGTCCCCTCCCCTTTCTCACCCAGCCTCCAACCCCTGCCCCTCTGGTGACCCTCAGTCTGTGAGTCTGTTTCTGTTTTGTTTGCTCCTTTGTTTTGGTCTTTAGATCCCACATATCAGTGAGCTCATACAGTATTTGTCTTTCTCTGACTTATTTCACTCATCACACACCCCTCTAGGCCCATCTCTGCATTTCTCTTTATTGGGAGGAAAACGTTCAGCAGATTTCACCATTTCTGAGTTTTTCCAAAGTTGTTTTCCACTAAGAAATACAAACAAGTTGTCTTGAATGAGGGATCATGGCGCAGACGCCTCAAGCCTCCAGAGTCGTGGTCACTTGAGAAGCGCTTCCTGGGTTCTGGCAGCGCCAGTTTCTGGAACAAGTCCTGTTCTTTCAAATCTCCAAAGCAACTCTTGTTCCCACAGGACCTCCTGCTCCTGCCGCTGAGGTCTTCCTCCGGCCTCCACATTTGTGCTGCCATTCAGCAAATACTGGGTTGGCAAAAAAAAAAAAAAAAAGTCTGCTTACTTTTCTCCATAAAATAAAAGATACGGTTTTCATTTGTACCAGCAGATTTATTGATTTGTGTATGTCTGCTGTCTTGTCTCTATTGGCTTCTAGAGGGTAGAGGCCAGAAGTGCCCACGTGCACAGAGCCCCGCCCACCCACACAGAGCCCCGCCCACCAGTATGAGCCACGCCCGGGCCACGGTATCACTCCCACAAGTCACCGCGCTTTGAGGGCTAGCGAGCTAACGGTCGCCAACGGCCAACCACGGACTGCTAACGGTCACAGGGGGCACGCAGGCCCCATCGACAGGACTTGGGCACAGGCGTGGGCACTGTGATCCCCATTGGCCAAACCCCACTGGGCGCACTTGCAGGCTCAGAAGGGGCAACCCCATTGGCCAAGGTCAAACGGCTGCTGGCGCAGGAGTCAGCACGGCAACCCGATTGGCCAAGCTCCACGAAGCAAGGCGCAGGCGCGGGCACGATCACCTTATTGGCTACGTGGCCACGAGCTTCAGGCTGCCAGACGCGTGGGGACAGGGCCGCAGAGAGCCATGCTGCGCCTCGTGGCCAAGCTAGTGGCATTTTTCTGGAGGAAGGCAGATGGGCTGGAGGAGGAGGTCCGGCCACTGGGGCTCGAGCCCCCGGAAGGTGCGCGTGGGGCAGGGCTGGCTAGCAGTGGGGTTGGGGCAGGCACAAGTGGGGGGCGGGCCGCGGCCTAGGAGTCCCTGTGAGAGCTGCAGTCAGGCCCTGTTCTCTAAGCTCCCCAAGCGGAGCCTGCCTAGGCCTGAGATCGGCTTTTTCTCTGTCTGGCCCTCTGTGCAGTGCGGGCTTGAAGGAGCAGCCCGAGCTAGGGTTCCACTCCAGGAGCGTGGCGGGGCCGAAGGTGACCTGCACTCCCCAGGTGTCGCCTGTGACTGGAAGCCGCGGAGCGGGCGCAGTGAGGACTCAGAACGCCGGGCTGCAGCAGTGTTCTCAGCCCTGGGTGGAGAGGGTCACTGAGTCGCCGGGGTGTACCCTGCTCCCAGGCCAATTTGCTCCCCAAACCCGGAATTGCCTGCGTTGACTCCTTTAGTAATACAGAACTTCCCCTGCGCCGCCTTGATGAGGACGAAAGAAAACAGTGATAACTGCTCCCCAGATGCAACAGCGCCATCGACAGTTCACGCTGCACCCTGACCTGCGCCAGCCTCTCCGGTTTCTGCACTGCTCCCAGTTCTGTCCCTTGGACAGCTCTTTGGGTCCCCTTTGAGACAGGTGGAGCAGGCACAGCGTGGCCAAGGACCTGGCCTGGGTGTGCATGTTGCAGGCGAGAGAGCTGGAGTCGGAGCCCCGGGCAGCCTGCTTCATACACCTGACTTTCTGAACCCTCCCCAGGAAGGACCTCTCGCCCCCTGCGTGCCCCATACTCAAGGCAGGCTCACTGGTGTAGTCGGTGTAACCTTTCTGTTTACCCACCTAGGTGACACCAAGTTGAAAACCGTGCGGGGTGTGGTGACGAGGTACTGCGGTGATTATGGCATGATCGACGATCTGATATACTTCTCCAATGAGGTTGTGACTGGCAAGGTGCTTCTGAACGTTGGGCAGGAAGTTGTTGCCATTGTGGAAGAAAACAAAGTGTCCAATGGCCTGAAAGCAGTCAGGGTGAGGCCTTGGTTGGTTCCGGGAAATTGCTTCTGGGGGGCGGTTCACACTGGGGGGGTTTCACACTGCTTCGCTGTGCTGGGGGTGGGGGGAGCTGGAGAGGCGGCCTGGTCCTGCCTGGCGTGCATTTGTTCTCACAGTGGTCTCTGTTTTTAAAAGTGGTGGTCACTGTAAGTCATTCAAATACCATGGAAATTTATAGTTCATAAGTTTGCCTCTCACTTCATACCATAGAGAATGCTTACCATTTATATGGCCTTCTAGTCTTTAAAAAGTATTATTAAAAATAATAAGTATTGCATCCTTTGTTAATGCAATTAGCAAAGACCACTAGTGGGCTCTATTAGTCAACTTTTTTCATTTAAAAACCAGTATTTTGAGGCAGAAGCCCTGGCTGATGTGGTTTAGTGGTTTGAGCTCTGGACTGTGAACCAAAAAAATGGTATTTTTGTGCTCCAGATTGTTGGCAATAGAATTACTAGTCTGAGGGCAGGCACATTTAACTTTTTGATGGCGATCACCTGCTTTCCCTCCAGCAGTGGTGCGCTGCACTGAACTCTCGGTAGCATGTGAAAGGCTGCTCTGGACCCTGGCCAGTCCGGTCCGTGGGCAGTGACCTCGTCCTTTTAGTTTGCACTTCAGTTTTACAATAGATCAGTATTTCACTTTTTTGTAGGAATTATTTTCATGTCCTTTGTCCATATTTTTTCTTGGGTCCAACTTTTTAAATTAAAACTCTGTATTAGGGAATTTATAGCTTTTTAAGGAAAATTATTATATGAAAGTATTGCAAATATTTCCCCCAAGATTGCTTTTTAGCTTTTGTTTTATACAGTGTTTTTGGAGTTAAATGTCTGTCTTCTCGTTGTAGTTTCTGGGCTCCGTATGAAACCTAGAAGAGGCTTACTCTACTTCTAACCATGAAAAAACACTCAGGTTTTCCTCCGATGGTTGATTATTGACATCTACATATTTAATCTGCCTGGGACTTACTTGGGGTGCAGACTGACAGAAGGAACCTGTAGCTACCACTCATCTCACCAATGGAAAGATCCCTTTATCAAGCTTCAGAAGTCCATATGCCGGGGACCCTGCCTGGACCCTGTCCGCGCCGATGCCTGCAAGGTCCCCCAGCTAGGTGGTGCCTGTGGGTGGCAGGCAGACAGGTCTCCCTCCCCCTGAGTGCAGGGCATTCTCCTGACTCTCCCCGCGCCATTTGCTGCCCAGCGCAGTCTGCTGTCCAGCGCCTCGGCTCAGGCTGAGAGTTGGACAGCGCTGATTTTGTGGCTGGTCAGGTTCGGTGCCAGGCAGAGCCTCTCGCGTCTTCCCCACGTGGCCGCGGTCTGTTGGTTCGCCGACATCCCCCTCTGTGCTCCTCTCACGGGTCAGTGCTTTCCTTCACCCAGGTTCCGAAAGTTCCTTGTTGCGTTTGTTCCCAAGAATTTTAATGTTTTTGTCTCCTTATCAGTGTGATTTTACTTCCTGTTTTTGAGTTAATTTCTTCTTCCTGTATGGGAGAGCTGTTGGTTTTTGTTACATGATTTGGTAGCTGGCAAACTGACTGAGTGCGGGTCAACTACACTTTAAAAAGGGTTGAGACGAACTTCGTTACTATTTTGGTGGGTAAATGCTATCTTAATGCTTAATATCATCTTTCTCAGATTTTAAAGATGATAGGCACGTTGTAGAATCACGTTCAGTACAATAGCTTCCAGTTGTATGGCTATTTAAATTTAAATTTATTAAAAGTAAGTACAGCCCTGGCTGGTGTAGCTCAGTGGATTGAGCACCAGCCTATAAACCAAAGGGTGGACAGTTCAGTTCCCAGTCAGGGCACAGGCCTGGCTTGTGGGCCAGGCCCCCAGCAGGGGATACACAAGAGGTAACCACACGTTGATGTTTCCCTCCCTCTCTTTCTCCCTCCTTTCCCCTCTCTCTAAAAATAAATAAATAAAGTATTTTTAGGAAAGTAAGTACAAATTTAAAATTAATTATTCAGTTTCACTAAGTACATTTCAGGAGCTAAATGTAGCTGGTGGCTACCAAATGGGGCAGCGCCGACCTAAAATGTTCCTGTCACCGCAAGTCTGCTGGGTCACTGCCCTGGACCACTGTGAACGAGAACCCGTGCCCCCGTGCCTCAGCCTCGCACCGTGAGGTGCTCTGAGAGGCCGGGTCGCTCGCTGGGGGCCGGGTTGTGGGGGGCCGGGTCGCGGGACCGGCCTTTGCTCATCTGCCAGCGTTGTCGGCAGTAGGTGCCCTGCTCCACCCAGCCAGATGTGTGGCGGCCGGCTCACCGACCCTGGATTTCTTCGCTTATTTTTTATCTAGGTGTTTCATTGTGGTAAAATACTGCTGGCATAGGATTCACCGATTTAAGCGTTTTTCAAGCACACCTCAGTGGCACTGAGTGCCTCCACCTGCAGGACAGCTGTCCCCGTCATCCACCCTCAGAACTGGTCGTCTGTCCCAGCTGAAACTCCTCCAAGGAGTTCACTGTGACTCCTGTCTCCACGTTTGGCTATTTTAAGTCCCTCATATAAGTGGAATCACGTAACGTGTCCTTTTGTGTCTGGCTTATTGGACTTGGCGCGATGTTTTTGAGGATTGTCATCTGTGTCGGAACTTCATTCCTCAGTAAGGCCGAGGACGGCCCCGCCGTGTGGGGACCGTGGAGTTTCTCCCCAGCCGCTGATGGACACTTGGGTTGTTTGTGCCTTTCAGCTGTTGCGAACGAGTATCCGTTTGAGTCCCTGTGTTCTTTTGCACACGTACCTAGGAACGGGACACAGGGTCGCGTGGTAGGCCTGCCTCGAACTGCAGAGGACCTGACAGGGTCTCCCCGGCGGCCGCCCTGCCCCGCGTGCCCGCCAGCCGTGCACCGAGGCCCGCGTGTCTGCATCTCAGCCAGGCTGAGCCGTCGTCCATGCGTCGGCAGTAGCCGTCCTACTAGGCATGGGGCGGCATCTTTTTGGTTCTCGTTGACAGTTTTCTGACAATAATATTGAGCCATCTTTTCTCAAGCCTATGGGTTATTTAATATTTTTTGGAGAAATGTCTCTTCAAGTCCTTGGTCATTTTTTAGTTGGGTTATTTTCTTGCCGAGTTATAGAGGGTTCTTCGTACCTTCTGCATATTGATCCCTCATCAGATTTGCGATTTGCAAATATTCCCTGTCATTCTGTGGATCATCTTTTCACTTTTTCTCAATATAAAAAAGTGTACCCTTTGATACACAGAAGTTTTAAGTTTTAATGAACTCCACTTACCTCTTTTTAAATTACCTGTGCATTTGATGTTACACTAAGGAAATTATTCATTAATCCAAGACCATGGTGACTGTCACCCAGGCTGTCACCTGAGAGTCTCACAGTTTTAAATGTGACTCTGATCCGTTCTGAGTTGCTCCTGGGCTGTGGTGTCTGGTGCGGGTTCAACTTCGCTGTTTCACGTGCTGGTTCCAGTTCTCCCCGCATCGTTCTTTGAGAAGACCTCACAGTGGGAAAACCCTTTCCCCGTGGAGTGGACACCCTTGCTGAGAACGGTGGGCCATGCCCACGTGCCGCGGTCCAGCCGCAGCAGAGTCCAGGGGTCCCGAAGGTGGGTGAGGCGTCGGTGCTGGGTAACAGACGACAACACGCCTCAAAGGACAGTGAAGCTCTGTTCTGTTTATTGCAAGTACAAGCAGGTTTTTCTATTTTCATTTTAGGTAGTGATTGACATTTGCAGGTGTATAGCATGATCAGTTAAGCAGAAAAAATCAATACAAAGGTAACCAGGAAAAGTACAAAAGTTCCCATAGATTCAGTTATAGTAAACAAAGATTATTTTTACCATTAGAGCCATAAATCAGACAATTAGAAGTAGCTGTATGTACAGAATTTGAATGTCTTATTGTATATTAAAATTTCTCAGAATTTGTCATGAGGCAAAAGGATACGCTAGATTGAGTAGAGGTAATAGGAGATTTATTATAAGGCCTTTGTGATGTCTAACTTAGCTATCTATCCTTTTCTGTCTAAAACGTTTCTCTGTGTACTATAAACTCTGACTCTCTAGTAACTGTTTCTACGTGTTTAGTTTGTAATAACCAGCCAGCTTTTGTTATTTCTTTGCCTGTCTAATCGATATATATTCTTATTCAAGGTAAAGGAGGGGCTGTTACTTCTAACAACTTCTAAACATTCAGGGACTATTTCATTAGAGGGGACTTTGTTCTCTGGTCAAGAAATTATTTTATACAACTTCATTGGAATCGTGTGCATCAATGAACCCGAAATATAAATGTCTAACAATTCCACCACCTTTTGATCACCCAAACAAACATGTAACTTGTTTTACTTATTTCTGGTACACCATGGTGGTCCTGATCACCTTAAGTTGCTCAAACCAGGGTAATTTATACAACTTGACATGTTTTCCCTTATGGTTAACAATTATATCGCCCTGGCTGTCGTACTCCCCTGTACAAGGGAGAGGGGAATCTGTGGGGATTTGTCCATCCTTTCAGGCAGTTCTGTGGAGAATACTAATGTTTTCCCCTGAACTGTTCCCTCCTCTTTGGTGATTTTCACAGGAATAAGTAAGTACAGTACAATGTCCATACTCAGTAGCAAGAGTAAAATAATTAAAATAAAACAGCCAGTTGTTAACCCATTTTGGATGCCACATTCTCCGGGCAGACCAATTCCTTGAACTCGACTCCTCCATGCCCGGACCTTGTCAGATGACGTGGTTGGAAGAGGACGTGGCATCGGTGGGTTTATTTAATGCTGGACTCTGTCCCCGTCTGTCCTCAGGTCGCCATGGTGCCAGTGTTTGATGACTGGGCTTCATAGCAAGTTTTCAAATCCAAGGGGGAACCTCCAGCTTTGTTCTGCCTTTTCAGGGTTGTTTTGGCTACTCAGGGTCGCTAAGAGTCCTTCTGGATTTTAGGCCGTGTTTTCCGTTTCTGCAGAAGTGCCCGGGGATTCTGACAGGATGGCGCTGGGTGTGCAGAGTGCCTGGCGTGAAACTGACGCCTTCACGGCGAGTCTCCGGTCCGTGAGCGCGGTGTCGTCCCACTCACCCGGGTCCCCTTCACCATCTCCCAGCCACATTCTGCAGTTTTCAAACTACAAACGTCTCCCTCCCTTGGTTAAGTTTATTCCTGAGTCTCTTTGTCTTCTTGACGTTAGTGTACGTATCCAATTGGGGTTTTTTTAAATTTCCTTTTTTGTATCACCCACTGCAAGTGTATGGAAATCCAGCTGGTTTTTGTGTGTCAAATCTGTGTCCTGCGATTTTGCTGAATTCATTTATTAGCTATAACAATTTTTAATGGAATATTTAGTGGTTTCTACACGTAAAATCCAGCCATCTGCAAACAGATCATTTTACTTATTCCTTTGCACCAGGTTAGATTCCTTTCCTTTCCTTTTTTTTTTTTGCCTCGTTGCTCTGGCCAGAACTTCAGCACTGTGTGGAACGGGAGTGGCAAAAAGAGATGTCCCTGCCTTTTTGCTGGTCCTGAGGAAAAGCCCCCCAGTCTGCCACCACCGATGGGGGGGTGGCTGTGGGTGTGGCCATGTGGCCTTCGTCTGGTGAGGATGCTCCCTCCCCTGTGACCCGAGTCCGTGGAGCGTCCCGTCACGAGAGCCTGCTGAGCGTTGTCAGGGGCCCTTTCCGCGTGACCTGGGACGGCGGTGTGTGCTCCTCGGTTCTGCCGACGGGAGTGTCACGTGGACTGATTTTCGTGCGTGGAACCGGCTTGCCCTCTGGGAAAAGCCCCCCTTGGTTGTGTAACCCTCCTAATATTTTTCTGCATCAGTTTGCTGGTGTTTGGTGGAGGGTTTTTGTGTCTCTCTTTGGGGGGCTGGTCTTCGGTTTGCGCTCCTGTGGGGTCCCTCTGTCTCGGCTTCAGCAGAGGCTCGTTTGTCTCTCAGGTGGAAGCCGTCTCTGATAAGTGGGAAGAGGACAGCAGGACGTGGGGAGGGGGGCTGTCCGACTGCAGCCCCCGAGTGCTGATCGGCTGCGTGACCTCGCTGACCAAGGGCTCGGGCTACATCAACCAGACCACGCACTTCTCTCCGCGGAGCGTCTGCGAAGGTAGGCCGGCGGGTGTGCGGGTCACCGTCGAGAGTGGGTCTGGTGGCCTGGCCAAGTGGCTCGGTTGTTCGGAGCATCGTCCTGCCACCACAGGGCCGCAGGTTCAGTTCTCGGTCACGGTGCATGTCTGCGTCGCAGGCTCGATCCTCAGTCCAGGTGCGTGGGGGAGGCAGCCAGCTGATACTTCTGTCACATTGATGTTTCTCTCTGTCCCTCCTGCCCTCTCTCTCCAAAAGCAAGGAAAAAATGTGTTTGGGTGAGGATGGAAAAATCAGTGAAAGGGTTTTTGTGGGGTTGCTTTGTTTTTATGGGTTAGACTCCAGTGCTCACGTGTGCCTTTGAGAGGCTGGGACCGGAGCAGCGTCTGTGGGCGGGGCTCCCCGACAGGCAGACGCTCTTGTCACACGTGCTCACACGTGGGATGCAGTCACTTGTTACTGGGTGACTGTTCCTGTCTCATCGTTGCTACCACAGGTCTGTACGGAGGAGGTGTCGTTTTTAGAGTCCCGCACCTGTTCTCAGGTGGGACTTGGGGGGTAAGCCGGTCACTTCCCCAAAACACACACCCATGTCTAGTTGCATTTGTTTTAGTGGATCTGAGGTTTTGCTCTCATGGCTGAAGAAAGTGTGTCGGTGCCTTTATTGAGTTTGCCCTCAGCCGTCGCCCTGTGCTGCCGTGCCCGCTGGTGGCAGTGCCGGGCAGCTCTGTGGGGCCAGGGCAGTGGGGTCGGCAGAGCTTCCTGGGGAGGCGCTTCCCGAGCTGGCGGGAGGAATGGGGGTTCTCCCCGCAGAGCTGGCGGCCAGCTCTGTCACTTCTCATGGACATGGAAGCTGGGACCAATCTTGGTGGCTGACCTTGGGAGTCCCCAAAGTGAAATCGATAGAGGCTGGCCAGGGTTTTGAGACCTCTGTCCTGTGTGACTCCCCAATCCTGTGATGGCTCAGCTCCAGAGGAACCTCTCGGCCCAGTAACCATGCCAACAGCAGCCACGCCCAGGTGGGAACGAGGTTCACACCGTGGGTATTGCTGGGAGGTGCAGAAGAGAAAGGTCACCTGAGGACGGCCACTGGGACGCAGGTGGCGGGACCCCAGCACACGCAGTCCTGGCGTGCTGAACGTGCTAGTGCTCAGAGACGTTTGCACGGCTGCTGTTCGCAGGATTGCAGGGCCTGGTGACCACCCAGAGCCTTCTTGAAAGAGAAGACTGCGAACAGGCTCGTAATGGGCTCTGCGGCGGGGAGGCAGCAGGGAGCTGGTGGCACGGCCTCACCTCTGGAGGCACCTGCAGGCTCCTCCGTGCAGGGGGGGCCGCCTGCTGACCTGCGCCCCGAAGTGGGGAAGGGGAGAGGGGCCAGATGTTTTGCTGACTTCAGGGGGAGCGAGGGCGCCCTTTCCTCCTGGTCCTGGCTCTGGCCGGGGCTGCTCAGTAGGGCGGCTTTGCAGACTGAGGCCCTTCAGGGAGGAGCCAGGTGGCATGTGGGTGGGTCCTCCGTAAGCCGTTGGGTGACCTCAGTGAGGTCCAGCTCAGGTGGGTGGCAGCGGTGAGCACGTGGGGCTGTGCTGTGACTCACAGCGGGTAGCAGCATCCCCGGCCTCTGGGCACCAACAGCCCCCACCCCACCCTCCCTGTGGCAGCCTCCCTGTGTTCGTTTCTGCGTATCAGGTAGAGCTGCTTTGACTCCGTGTCTTGGTAGCGCGACCTAATATAGCAGGTGTCCTGTAGGGCCCAGTGGCACAGCCTCCCCCGTCACCCGACCTGGGTACTGGAGGTGTGCCCTTCTTGTGGGGTGAGCACACCCTCCTCTTGTAGCGGAGCCTTGGTTGCTTTGGCAGGTCAGTGGGAGGGATTTACCCAGGCCGGTCAGCTGGCAGGACTGGCTGTGACCACTGATCACCGACCTCCACCCTCCGTGGAGGGTCAGCTGTGCAGGGGCAGCTGGTGGTGTCCCGATGTGGCCTGTGGCTGACCCCTGGGTGCACAGGCCTTGGGGTCCCCTGGGTGGTGCAGGCCAAGGTCAGCCCCCACCTGTGTTCTGCCCGGGGCCACCCTGCCTGAGCTGTAAAGCAACCTGAGATGGCGGCTGCTAGTGCTGGGCCCGGGCTCACCGAGGCCGGCTGCTGCGTGTTTGAGAGGATGTAGGAAGCTGTGAAGCCTGGGCCAAGACCAGCCATTCAAATGGAAAAGTCTCTGTTAACAGCTCAGGTGGGCCCGTAAGTTGGGTAGGACGGAGTCTCTGGGGGTCTCCAGGGTGGGGCAGACGGGTTAATGGAGCCTCAGATGTGGCACCTGCCTGCCGGCTCCGTGCAGAGAGGGCTCGGAAGAGGGACAATGGGCCCTGCCTCCTTTGTGTCTGGGAGACAGCTGTCCCCCAGCTGCAGCCTTGATGTCAGCCACTTCGGTTCCTCCCTGTGCGGCTGGTGCCCTTCCAGCTGCTACCCCGGTGCTGGAGCTCGGAGGAGTGAGTCTGAGCGGTGAGTCTGCGGTGGGTCCTCTAAGAGGAGCTGCTTTGGACCCCGTAAGTTTCTTCCCCTGACTCGGTCCCCACTGGTCATTGCAGCCAGAAGTGGTGGGGGCTTATCTTCCTGGCGCTGGAGTCCTGGGCTGGGGGGCCCGGTGCGGGGGGCGGGGGGCCTCGTCACTCCCAGGATCTCCCTCCCGGATTTTCATCCACCCCTGTGGACGTGGGACCAGCTCGTTCTGCATCTGCGCCCCCCCTACCAGTCTGGATGGATGTGGTTTCTTTAATTCGGTAGTTGTCAGACGTCCATTCAACTTGGTTTCTGACGGTTCCGAGTGATGGTCGTTCTATATTTTAGTTGTACTTTTAATGTGATTGTGCGAGGAGGTGACCTGTGTTTACCTGTGCCGTCATCTTGACCGGAAGTCACTCCGTATTTTTAAACTAAACTGGTTTATGCCCCCGCCTGGGAGACGAAGAGGAGGTCCCAGGGGTCCTTTGTGAGACCTTCTGCGAGGCCCCAGAGCCACAGGTAGTCCAGGGCTTTTTCCCTGTGTTGCTGGGTAGTCTCTTGACTTCAGGCCTGCCCCGTGTGGGCCACTTGGCCTTGACCTCTGGCTCATGGTTGGGATTAACCCCCAGTAGGCACCAGCTGGTGGGCGGGAGGGGATGGAGGTGGGGTCGGCCCTGCCCTGGGCCCAGCTCCGAAGGGAGGATGGGTGTCGGATTTCACCAAAATGAAGTTCGTTGTCAAAACCTGTGTATTGACTTGTAAACTGATGTCGTCACGTGAACGGACCTTTAAAGTAGTGCTGGTCAGAAACTGTTGCAAAACTAGTTCTTTCTAGGAAATGGGAAAATAATACCTGGGCACATCAAACCCACCTACTGTTGGCCATTCAGCCCCCGTCCGTGGTACATGCTGACAGGCTTTAGTCGCCCGGCATTCCTGGCAGCCTGTCGCTGGCCGTGATCTGCACGGCGCACTCTGTCGAAGCCACGCTGCCTCACCACGCGTGTGTGCCCAGGAGGCTGGAGTGGAAAGCCAGCAGCCGTGGCTGGTGAACACACCGTGCGGAGCCCGTCTCGTGTGTCGCACGCTGCCCTGGGCCCGGTCCTGCTGCTGCCCGGCTCTCCCGGGGCGGCCGGTCTCTGGTGCCCCCCGCCCGCCAGCCCTGCCCCCGTGGTCCCAGGAGGGATAGTCCCTGTCGCAGGTGTCCGGCTGGTGTGTGCTCATCACCAGCTTCCCGGAGAAACAAACTCAGTGCCCGGTCACACCCTCTGGTTCGGGGGCGTGTTTCTGGCAGATGCGTTCACTGCAAAGTAACCCGAGGCTGTGGCTGCCCAGCCGAACACCCAGCCGAACGCCCAGCCGAACACCCAGCTTGGCGGCCGCCCCGCTCACCCTGCTCTCCCCCATCTTCTGGAGGGGGAGCCATCGCCTGTGACAGCACTGCACGTCACTGACCTTCCCAGCCCCTCCATGCAGCCTGCTGGCGGGGCCTAGTGGCACCCGGCACCCTGCAGGCCGAGGCATGAGCTCCAGCACAGCCACCCGGCATGCCCCTGGGCTGTGAGGCACGGTGACCTCCCGGCCTGAGCTGCATGGGCGTAGCCGCCAGCCCTCCGCTCCCTGCGTCCCCAGCCCCCTGTGTCCCCAAGGCGGGAGGGGCACTCACGCTGTCTGGGCAGAGCTGCAAGGACAGGGTGCCGGGGCTCATGAGACTGCCCGCCCTTGTGTGCCTGCCCCTCCGGGCGGGGAAGGTGGTGGCAGGTCTGCCACTGAGCACATGCGTCTCGTTGCTCTGCTGACGATACTTGGGGATTTGTAATAAAAATCCAAATTTCAGGGAGTGTCTGAATCTAATGGGCTCTGAGGCCCTGCCCACCTGCTGCACGGCACCTGGCCGTGGACCCTTGAGGCAGGCAGAGTCGGGCCGAGGGGAGGAGGCCGTGAGGTTGGGTGGGTCTAGGGAGACGCAGGGGACAGGCGCGTCCCTGCCAGCGGAGGCCGTGCATCGTTGCCCCTCCCGAGGGGCCGGACCCCGCGGCTGGGACAGGCCTGGTAACGCTGCTGTCCTGCCTCGGAGGTTTTGCGCCCTACAAGGGAGACTGGGTGGAGGCCACGTACTGGATCCGGCCCGGCACCTGGAGCAGCGAGGCTGTGCTGGTGAAGCCGCTGCGGTACAAGCGAGTGGACAGGGTAGGCCCCGGCCCTGACGCGCCCTGCTCTCCGGGCGCCCTGGGGTCACCATGGCCAGGCTCAGTCAGGGCCACCGAAGACCCCCTGGCGTGGCGTCCTGGTTACATCCTAAGGGGAGCACACGTGCAGAAGTCGTGACCGTGGGCAGTGGGGTGTGGACGTGCGGCTGGCTCCCCGGTGAGGGTGGTGGCATATGCGGGGCCCTGGCTCCCAGGTCCCCACAACTGGTGTCATTTTCAGGGCATCACTTCCGCTCCAGGAGCAGGGTCCCACTCTCCCAAGGTTCCCTGTCGTCATCTGCAGGGGGCCCAGGCGAGGGAAGGCCGCAGTCACTGGGCGGTGGTTGTGCGGCCAGTGGGGCCTGGCTGGCCAGTGAGGCCGCCTGGATTCTGTGCCTGCAGGTCTGCATTTCCAGCCTCTGGGGGAGAAATGGGGTGATTGACGACAGCATCTTTTTCACCCTGGACTCTGTGAAGCTTCCGGAGGGGTACGTGCCACGCAGGCACGACGTGGTCAACACCGTGGTGGTGGAGAGCAGCCAGTCCTGCTACCTGTGGAGGGCCCTGTGCTTGACCCCGGTGACAAGGCGGTAAGGGGACTGGCCGCCGGCCGGGCGGGAGGGGGCATGGAGGCCTGTGCCGCTGGGCGTGAGAGTTGCCTGGTTGAGCTGAGTGGCGGCCGCCCGTGCCCGCGTGCCGGTGGGGCGGCGGCGGTGGCGAGGAGGCGTCTCCCGCGGGTGTTCGCGGTGATCAAGTCAGGGGTCCCGCCCTGCCCTTCGTCTGCCCTGGGCGGTTCCCTGTGTGGGGAGTTCGCACCGTGCTCTCGACCACGTCAGCACTTTGCTCCTGGTGCCTGTGTCCTTCCTACAGTGCCCCGGGGGCCTCTGCCCCTGCCCGACAGGCTGGCGAGGCTGCGGGCCGCCGCTCCTCCACCTGCCTCCCCGCAGCCGGCCCCCTGGCACCAGTTACTCCTGTGTCGTCCCGCCCCCTCTCGAAAACACGGGCCTGTCTCCTGCCGTGTACGCAAGCCCTGGAACCTGGGGGCACAGACCGGCTGCCCCTCAGCCCGACTCGCCTGGCTCATCCTGTCCAGCAGCAGCCTCGGGGTCTCTCGTTCGAATGGCTCCGGTCTTTCCCAGCCCTGACCCCCTGCACCTCGGGGACTTGCCGACTTGGCTCTCAGAGGCGCGGGGCCCGCCGGGCGCAGCAGCACCTGCGCATGCAGTGGGCGGGCAGGGCCCCCGCCTCCGTGGCTCTGGGCAGCGGAGTGAGTCAGGGCGGCCCTCCAGAGCGGGTGCTGGTCATTGCCGGGCCAGCTGCTAACCCCAGGCCTGGCCCAGGGGCCGCTCCCTCATCTGCCTCAAACAGATGACCTCACCGGGCAAAGGGAGGCCGCCGCAGTCTGGGCCGAGCTGTGAGCTGGCTCCAAACCCCTGACTCAGGTGTCCCCACCGGCCCACCAGTGGGGGCTTGGGGCTGAGCAGAGGAAGGGACTTGCCGAGTCCAGGGAACTGGGTGGATGGGATGCCTGTCCGAGGGCATGGAGTCAGCGAGGGCCCCCCGTGTGCCCCTGTCCTGGCCACGGAAGTGGGCCGGGCACAGAGAGGGCCGCGCTCTCTCTGCGGTGTCACCGCGGTGTCGCGGCTCCTCCATGTAGTCGAGTAGACCGCCGTGTCCTCTTTCAGCATGAGCCCCGTCCTCCTCTCAGACCCCCGGGGCAGGAGGCTCCCGCCTGCAGACCCTCTGGGTGGAATCTGTCCCTCTGCCAGCAGCTTGTCCCGCCCCTGGCATCCCAGCGCTGGACATGGAGGCTGGTGGGAGGGTGGCGGTGCCGCAGGCGGCGGCCTGCTCCGCCGCTGTGACCCCACCCGGGCCTCTCTGCAGAGATGCCGCCAGGGCCGCTGAGGCGGAGGCTCCCGACCGGGTCTGCGAGGCCCTGTTGCTGAAGGACAAAGGCAACGTCGAAGTGACGAGAATGACCGACTTCGGAACCATGAAGGAAGGAGGCAGCAAGAGCCTGGTGCTCTGCATAGAGTGAGTCCCGGGGCTGTGTCGTGGTTCGGCTGAGTGACGGACCGGTGTACTTTGCTCGGTTGCTTTTGGTTCTGTGGAAACATTCACCCCAGTACTTCCCTGGTGCCTGCGCCTGAGAGGGGTCCCCGGTCCCCGGGAAGCCGCGTTCTACAGCAGCTGAGCACGTGTGTGTCAGAGGCCCCGCTGCTGGAGCGCGGTCCCCTCTGTGCAGGAACAAGGGAGACGCTCCTCAGCACCTGGTCAGCTGCAAACTGGCCGGCTGGGACCGGGCAGGACAGTTCCGGCTCCACATGCTGTGGAGGACCCAGCGCTGCCTGCCCGGGCGTCCTGGAGCCCGCCCTGGGACCTCGGAGGGCAGCGTCCGCCCAGCAGACAGTGGCCGGGACGCCCAAGCCTGTCAGGTGTCGGAGAGCGGCGTGGGCCACAGCGGCGCCGTCCCCCCAGGTAGATGGAGGGCTGGGCTCCTTTGATGCCACGGGCTGTCCAGTTCCGGACCTTCCCTGGCGTTTTGGGGGCAAAGACAGAGGTGTGTCAGACACGCTGCCCCCTGCAGACGGCTCCAAACTGGGGAAAGCTGCCTGCCATCACCTGGCTGTTGTCTCCTGTCTGATGCTGGGCTGGGCTGGGGGTGGGCGTGTGCATCTCCGGCCCCATCAGAAGCAACTCGCCCGGGTCTGGTCTCACCTTGCAGGGGGCGGTGCCTGTGAAGCAGAAACCGGGGGAAAAGGACAGAGCACCTCACCGAAGCAAGCAGCCAGGCCTGCATCCAGCGGGCTCATCCCTCCCGGGGAAAAAGCCCTGGTCGTGGTCATTTGCGAGGCCAAGTAGGTGGCAGCAGGGTCTGCAGCGGTTCTGTACTGGGGACGCTGACACGCTGACCTGGTAGGTCCCTTGTGTGGCCCTTCCAGGTCTGATGTTACAAACAGTATGTGTAGCTCTTTTGATGGGACAAGTTTGTAACCAAAACACTGGTGGAGACTGTGGCTGGCGTGACTTCAACCAGTGAGGCACTACCCTGCCCCCGAGCTTGACAGTGGCCCCCACCCCTCATCTGACTTGTGACTGACAGGATAGGCGGCCGCCCTCAGCCCGTTGGAGGCAGGCCCCCTGCTCCCTCCGCCTCCTCCCCCGTGTCCAAGCCCCCACCACGGCCTGCTGCTCACCTGTCAGCAGGACATTGGGACTCCAAGCCTCTGCCTGCATTTGCCAATTAATTGTAAATCTCTTTAAAACTCGATTTACGAGTCCCTGCCTTGACGGAGCCCAGCAGCGTCCAACCACAGTGACGCTTACGGCTCCTTCAGCCAGTACTATGTGAGGAGGCCCGTCTGTGACAATGTGTGCATGACTGGGGACGACACTCGGGGGCGAGGGTGTCCGTGAAGCCCATAGCAGGAGATCGGGCAGGAAGCAGAGGGGCAGTCGGCGACTCCAGTTGCGCAGGCCGCTCTGACGGACACGGGAGCCCCGACACGTGCGTCCTTCTGTGGGTTCGCGCGTCCCCAACACCACTGTTCGGGTGTTTGATCTCGTCTTGGAAAAACGTTCCATGCCCTTTGCCCCGACGACCGAGAGGCCTGACTGCCCGCGCACGCGCACGCAGTGGGGTCCGTGCCGGTGGCACAGACGGAGCCTGCCTGGTCTTGCAGGGCCGCCGGCCGCTGCAGGGAGCTGCTCCTGCTCTGCTTCTCCAGCTTCCTGATCGGGCGCTTCCTGGAGGTGAGCGTGGTGGGCGCGGAGGAGGCCCTGGTCGCCATGCGTGAGCCGTTCCTGTGGAAGAAGTCCAGAAGTCCCCAGGCGCCAGCGCCCACGAAATCCACCGTTGTCGTGACTACGCAGAAGAGGTACCGTGACGGGGAAGACGGCAGCGTGGCCCGGCCTGCGCACGCTGTGTGAGGGCCACAGGGGGGCTCTCTCCGCCCTTGCACTTGGGGTTGATGTGTTTGCACGAAGCCGTGTCCGAGGGCCTGGGGCGCGGCCCACTGTACATGTGAGGATGGGGAGGCGGCTGGCGATGGCCTGCCTGCCCCTTCACCCGGCTGGCCTCCGGGTGGCCCTCCCAGATGGTGACCCTGTCCCTCACTCCTGCTGTCTCCGACAGCCCGGCCCAGCCCCCAAAACAGCCTGTGCCCCACACAGCCCCCCGAGGCACCGGTCAGTGAGGGGTCAGCAAACGTGGTTGGCATGGCCTTTGCGGGCTGTCACAGCCAAGTGTCACTTGTGTTTGAGGCCACAGGGCCAGCCGGCTGCCTGCAGCCTGTTGGAGAATGAAACCAAGAGCAGCATCACTGTCTTCTAGTGCCACGGGGCTGGGGCAGGAGGGGCCACAGCGTGTCACCAGGTGTCGCCTCCGGGACGGAGAAAAGCTTTGTGCCGAGAAGCCTGGTGTGTGTGTGGCTGCGACGCACTTCCTGGCCAGGCCTGTGCGGTGTTGACACTCGCCCTCCGCTGTGGTCACTGATGGGCAGCTCAGGGACCACCCCGACCCACGGGGCACGAGGCCCCTCCTTGTGCAGGACTGGAGGGCCCCGAGTCCCCAGGCCCAGGCCGCCCACTAGCACTTCATGCTGGGCTTCCCGGACAGGCGGCCGGAGGGAAGTCTGCAGGCCGAGAGCTGAGAGTCAGCCAGCCTTTGGGGTGGGACCGTTGTTTGAGCCCCTGCACGAGGGAGCTGTGTGGCCTGGGCCAGTCTCCTAACCTCTCTGAGCCTTGGTCACATTTGGAGAGGAACGGGCCCACCCCCACTTGCTCCCAAGGTCTGTGCAGCTGCCGGCACAGAGTGACCAGCAGTGAGGGGCGTTGGCCACTGAAGGGCTGTGCCCTGGGGGTGGAGCCCAGAATGCAGGGTGAGGAGTCCGCGTGGCCTGTGGGGGAGTCTCTGTGACCGCATCTCCATCCCAGGAGCTCCAAGAGCCCCTGACTGTGGTCAGTGGTCCAGCAGGCCGCCCGCAGCAGCACCTGGCCTGGCCAGAGGACAGGGCTGACCGGCACAGGTGTTTTGTCCCTGGTCCGTCACTTCCACTGGAACATTAACAGCCATCACTGTGCAGTCGGTAGTGTCCCTGCAACAAAACACTTCTGTCCTCAGGTTAGTGACCCAGCGCTTGTCCTGGCCAGCCCCCAGTATCCACACCTGCACCCCCCCTTGCAGTCGGCAGCCCCACATGTCCAACCATGTGGTCACACTGTCCCTGCCAAGGGCACTCCGCTGGGTTTGTGGCCACTTGGGCTGTAAATGGCCTGGGTCTGTTCACTCAGCTCTTTGAGGCCGTGGGGGGCAGAAGGACCATTCGGGCTACAGACCGGCACGTGTCGGGGGTGACCCTCCCCTTCTCTCATTTGCGTCTGTGATGACTACTTTTCCGTTGTTTGCCGACTGTCCCTGCTTCCCACACGCACTTCACACGTGGATTGCTCCAGCCTTGCTGCAAACTGGGGGGAAGGTGTCCCCACTTCTCAGGTGCTGCTGGCTCTGGGTCTCCTGGGGCCTCCCCGCTGAGCTGCTGAGCTGAAGGAGCCCTTGCCTGTGGTGGCACCTGGGGAACAGGGAAGGAGGCAGCGGCCTCGTCCACCCAGACACGAGGGAGCAGGGTTAAAGTGGGTGTGCCTGCGCCATCCATGCTCGGTGCCGGGCGCAGCTGCACGGTGGCAGCGGCCCTGCACCGCTTGGTGCCAGACGTCTCTCAGTTTCCCTCTCCTGCCTTCATGATGCCCTCTCGGATTGGCCGCGGCAGTGGCAATGCGCTTGCTGCTGGCGCCCCTCCCAGGCAGGGTGGAGCTCGGGGACGCGTGCCTCCCCAGAGAAGTGACAAGCTGAGAGCAGGAGGGCCCCCCAGTGCAGAGCAGCTGGCAGCAGCGTGTCCCCCACAGCCACGACCTCGGCAGGCGCCATAGGCAGGCTCAGGTCCCGGGGAGCGAGTGTGTGGACAGCTGTGAGAGGCCCCCGGGCCCCCGGGCCTCTCGTGCATCAGGCCCCTCCGCTCTTGCAGGCAGGCCCCCCGCCCCTCATGGGGACAGATGGACTTGGGCCTCTCTCAGTAGGCGAGGGTGGAAGACAAAATGTCTTACACCAGGTGCCCAGGTGGTTAGGAATCACTTCCGACTGTGAGCCTCTCTCTTCAGGAACCTGAGGCGCCAGCTGCCAAGTTTCCTCCCCCAGTACCCGGTACCGGACCGGCTGAAGAAATGCGTGGAGCAGAAAATCGACATCCTGACTTTCCAGCCGCTGCTTGCCGAGGTAGGAACAGGGCCTGGTGCGAAGCGCTGACCGGCCACCACACTCGAGTTTCTGACAGCGTCGGGACGGACCGTCCCGGCTCACACCTCTGCCTGGGTCCCGCTGGCACTGGGAGTCCTGCCCGACAAGCTCTGCTTCCGAGGGTCCGGTCCAGACGACCCAGCGTTCTCTGCACTGCTGATGGGGTTTGGTTGGGCTGCGCCATCTTGCTGTTTGTTTTTCATTTGTTTCCTTTTTCTCTTTCGCTTTGTGTGTATGTGCGGTGGCAGCGACCTCCTGTCTGGGCTGGCACGCCGCCTTTTGTAGTCTGGGAGTCGCCTCGGACCCTGTGCCGGGGACCTGGGCCGCTGAGCGTGTGGCGTGGCCGGGTCACTGAGGGACTGAGTGTGTAACGCGCTTCCACCACGGCCTAGGCCCAGGCACGTAGCCCAGGTCTGCAGCGCGAGCCCCGGGCTCACAGGCCGCGGGAAGCCAGCGTCTCGGGGCACCTCCCGCGTCCCCGCCCTTTGCTGACGGTGTTGGGAGTCTGACTCGTGCGTGCGTTTCGGACTCTGCGCTGCGTCCTGCTGCTGCTGCTGCTGTGTGTAGCCAGCCGCCTTCTCAGGTGTCCCAGAGGCGGGTCCTCCGCTGACCACGAGGTCCCCTGACCTCCGTGGGTGCTCTTGCCGAGGGACCAGGCCTCCTCTCGGGGGCCCACTGGCTTCTGCGTCTGGAAGGGGGTGGGGCGCTGGGCGCCTGCCGCGTTCCGAGGACGCGCTTGTCCTGCTTCCTGCCTTTGCTCTCTGCACGTGCGGAGGCTTGTCCTGCTGCTTTAAGGTGGTCTCTTCACCAGCGATGTGAAGAAACTTAGCTTACAGCGTCGCCTTGGTGTCGTTTTCCTCACGTGTTCTTGGGCTTCTTTGAGCTTCTTTGAGCTTCTTTGGCTGCGTGGGCTGATTGTTTCCCTCAGACTTAGAGATTTTTGGCGAGTCTGGCTTCAAACGCTCTCTCCGTCCCGGCCCCCACTTCTCAGTTTTCTCTGCTCTTCCCAGTCTGTCTCGCGTTTGGACAGTTTCTACTGCTGTGCCTTCAAGTTTGCTCATTTTTCCTTTTTTTTTTTTTCAAGAGTTGTCATAATTTTGTCATTTATTTATTTATTTTTAGGGGGAGAGAAACATCAGTGTGTGGTTGCCTCTCATGTGCCCCTTACTGGAGACCTGGCCCACAACCCAGACCTGTTCCCTGCCTGGGAATCGAACCGGTGACCCCTTGGTTCTCAGGCTGGTGCTCAGTCCGCTGAGCCACGCCAGCCAGGGCCACGTTTGCTGATTTTTCCTTTTGCAGCACGTCATGCCGTCCCCGTACTTTTTATGTCAGGTGGTGTTTTCTCTCCACAAGTCCCATTTGGGTCTTTAACATTTCACTGTTTTCTCAGCTTCTTGAACACTAGTGACATGGTCACGATGACGGCTTTAAGGTCCTGTCTCCTGAGTGGGTCGCAGGCCGTTGCTGGTGCTGGGTTTTCTCCTCACCGCGAGCTCAGTTCTGCACCTTCTGGAGGCTTTGTGTGGCTGGCTGCCAGGTGTCCTGGAGTTACCTCACCGAGCTCGTTTGTGGGACATGGTTGAGCTCCTTGGGGACAGTGGGACACTTCTGCGCTTTCCAGCTCTGTCGGGTGGGGGCTGAGGGGGACTCAGGGCAGCCGCCCTCCCAGCTCTGCCCAGGCCGTGTTGACACGCTCGGAGCTCGGGCCGTACCCTGTATGACCTCTGGGAACTGTCCCCTGGAATCTAGTGGTTCTCCACAGATGACAGTGTGTCCCAGGAGACACTTTCGGGGCGTCACAACTAGGGTGCTAGTAGCATCTGGTGGGTGGAGGCCGAGGATGTGCTAAATACCCTGTGACACGCAGGACGCCCTCCTGCCCGCCGCCCCTGCCCCCCACTGCCCCTGCCCAGAGCAGGGCAGGGCAGGCCCGGCAGCAGCGACCCAGGCCCAGGCGCCCTGGAGGCCTGGTGAGGGCGCGCTCACTCCCGAGCACTGGCGGGCGGCCCGCTCTGCCCCGAGCGCTCTGCCCCGTGGCCTCCTCGGGCCCCCAGGGCCACCTCCTCCCACCCAGGCCACACAGCTGCTGGGTTCTTTCCCTGTCACAGGGTCTGCCGTCCTTGGGTGGCCGTGGGTCCCAACCCAAGGACGGCTGTCTGTCAGCAGCTGTCACTTCCCCGGGGCTACGCATCAGCAGTTGGGACCCAGCCCCACCCCCAAGCTGCTGATGCCGCCGCTGGACCGCGGCCGCCGCTGACCGCCGGCTTGCCTTACAGCGCTTGAACGTGACGAACTACAAGGAGAAGTTCTCGACCTTGCTGTGGCTCGAGGAGATTCACGCGGAGACAGAGCTGAAAGAGTATAACATGAGTGGGATCACCTTGAAGAGGAGCGGGGACCTGCTGGTGCTGGAGGTCCCGGGCCTGGCCGAGAGCCGGCCCTCCCTGTACGCAGGTGGGCGGGGCTGCTGCACCGGACACGATTCTAGCCCGATTCGGGCTAGAATGTCACGTAAAACTCGGCCTGTTACCCAGCATCTGCCCCGTCAGGCGGATGTCATTTTTAAGTGGCTGGCCCCAAGCCGTGCGGCTGTAGCTCATACCCGCCGTGTGTTTCCTACCAGGCGACAAGCTGGTTCTGAAAACGCAGGAGCACCACGGCCACGTCGTTGAGTACGTGGGCTACGTGCTGAAGGTGAGGGGCTGCTGGGCGGGGGGCTTGCGACGGTGGGCGGGGGGTCTCCCTGGGCTGCACGTGGGGAAACGTGAGGGTGAGGTGACAGTCCAAGGAAACGCGAGGTGAGAGGCCGAGGTGACATCCTCGGAGACCCCGCCGTTCCGACCGGGCAGCACACGGGCTGCGCGAAGGTCAGGCTGTCGGCGTCGGGGAGGTTCGGGTGCTGAGTCTGTCCCCACGGGGGTCTCAGAGCAGACGCACTAGGCAGACTGCCGGCTCTGAGGCCGCCGTGAGCGAGGCCATCGGTGTGCCAGGGGCTCTGGGCCCTTGGGCGGCTCCCTGTGTCCCCACCCTGGGCAGGGTGTGGGGTCGGGGGCGGGCAGGACGAGCCCACAGGCCCCCGGCAGGGAGAGCTGACACCGGCCAGGCCTGCCCGCGGGGGCTGGGCGGCCGAGGCCGGAGAGTCGGGCCCTTGGGAGAGACTTTGCGGCACCTCCTTCCTGCCCCCGCCCGCACCGCGTTCTGCGCCTGTGCGCGCCACGCTGTCACCCAGCTCGGCTCTGCGGGTACCTTCTCTCCCTCAGAGACACGGCAGGTGGGTTGCCCGGTGTGGGGAAGGCGGCAGGTTCACTGGGCCGGGCAGCTCCCCGCTGGAGACGGTGCTGGGTGAGGCGGCCCCAGGCACGGAGGTCGTCCCAGAAGGTCCCAGGGGCGCGGGCGCGTGGCTCGGGCGCAGGGTTGGGGTGAGGGTGCGTCTCCGAGGGCCGAGAGTCGTGGGAGGGATGTGGCACCGCCTCCCTCTCTGCTCAGTTGGCCCCAGAGGAGCGGCCGTTTCCGAAGGGTCGTCTGCGTCACTGGAGCTGCCTTGTCTCATCGCCGTGTGACTACAGGCTCACTCACTTTTGCCTTTCAGTATTTTTTTAAATATTTTATTTATTTATCTTTGAGGGGAAGGGAAGGAGAGAGGGAGAGAAACGTCAATGTATGGTTGCCTTTCGTGCGTCCCCTGCTGGGGACTGGCCTGCAGGGAACCACCCTGCAACCCCCGTATGTGCCCTGACTGGGAATCGAACCACTATTGTCTGGTTCGCAGGCCTGCGCTCAATCCACTGAGCTACACCAGCCAGGTGCCTTTCAGTCTTTTTAACTTCACCCCGGTTTTGTGCGTTTTTGCGTGTGGCAGTACCTGTGCGTGAGGTCCTTGGGGCCAAAGTCAGCGGCCGGCAAGGCCCCCCTCACTCGGGGGACACACTCCCGCACCTCAGCTGTCTGGTCTCCTCTCGGGCTGGGGAGCCTGGGCCTGTGCTGGGCCCGCTCCCCCAGAAGGGCCTCTCAGCTCCTGCGGTGACCGGGGCTGCTGCCGGGGGTCCCCAGCCCTGCAGCCCTGACCCTGCCGCCCAGCGCCCCCAGCCTGGAGCCTGGGGCTCCCCCTCTCCCGCTCCGCCTCACAAATGCCTGCCCTCCCTGCCGGTCCCGAACCGCTGCCTGCAGCCTCTCCCTGTGGCTGGGGGGCCCCCGGAACAGAGCCCGCCCCCGGGGCTGGGAGGGGCAGCGTGGGACGGCCTGGCACGGGGCCTGTGGGCGTGGGGTCGGCGACTTCTTCCTTTGTACGTGCACCAAACTGCCACTCAGGTCTGTGGGACGAGTGTATCACCACAGGCCACAGACACAGAAGACTGCCGTCCCGAGGAACGGAGAGTGCGAGGGATGGAAACGAAACCATTTGCTTCTCCTTCAGATTCACGAAGAGGATGTGACTCTTAAGCTGAACCCAGAGTTCGAGCAGGCGTACAGTTTCGAGCCCTTGGACGTGGAGTTCACCTACAACAGGTGAGGCCTCGGGCACGCCCCCCGCAGCGCCCCTCCCGCCGCGGGCTCCGTGCGGGAGGGGCGCTCTCTCGTGGGGCTGGGGTTCGTGCTCCAGTTGCTCGTGTTCTCCCGCCGGTCCTCTGTCAGGTGTGCCGCTTGCAGACGTTTGCTCGGGTCGCGACGAGAGATTTTATTTTTGTGACGCTGCCTTTCGAAGAGCAGAAGTTCTTACGTTCAGTTTAACGGCTTATTCTTTTTGAGTCACACTTTCGGTGATCTGCTTGAGAAACCGCCTCCTGCAGTGTCACTGAGGTTTTCTTCTAAAATTCTGCAGCTTTGAGTTTTACATTTAGGGCTGCGACCTGTTTTGAGTTGATTTCTGCAAATGCTGCAGCGGTGGAAGGACACTAACGGGGGCGTGGCCACCCCTCCTGGCACCACCGCTCTCCCTCCCTCCGAGCGGCTCCTCACAGCGTTCCGGACGCCCGTGGCCCGTGGCTGTGGGTCTGGGATCGGGGAGCCGAGGCCCCCCCGGGGCGGTTTGCAGCGCTGTGCGGCTGCTCCGGGCTCCGCGTCCTGGGTGGGCCCAGGGCAGCCTGTGCCTTCGAGGGCGGCCTGTCTGTCCAGGTCTGGCTGGGGCCGCGTGGCATCTCTGAGTCCTGGGGATTCAGGGAGAACCGACGTCTGACGTGGAGTTTTCCAGCCCCGAAGTACCTTCTCCGTCCGCCGAGGCCTCTCCCCATTTCTTCAGTGATGTTTTCTGCTCTTTGCTGTGCGGGTCCGTTGTGCAGTTTGCCCTGACTCCTAAAGACATTTTTAATGCTTCCGTGAGCAGTAATTCTCCCTTAAATTTCTGGTTGCTTGTAGCAGTTGATTTTTGTGTGGGGATCTTGTGTTCTCTGTGCTTGCTGAGCAGAATGTTTCTGGGAGCTTTTTACAGATCGCAGAGGATTTCCCACACGCGCCCCCCTGTGCGTTCGCTGTGCTGTGCTTTGCTTTGCTTTGCCTCACCTCGCTGCGTGGCTGGGCCTGGGGAACCGTGGAAACCAAGGTGTCTGTTCCTGGGGGGCCGCCGCCCCGTCGAGGGGAGGAGCTGAGTCTTCGCTGGCTGAGAGTTTCAGGCGTCAGTGGGTGTGGGAGTCTGCCCCTCACGCCCTCCGAGATGTCAGGTGGTTTTTCCTGCTCAGTCGATGGAGACAGTCAGTTACGTGCCTGGGACAAGCCCCCTCACCAGGGCACAGTCGCCTTCCACACGTGGCTGTGCCTGACCTGCCAAAATTTTACTTATCTTCGCCTCTGTGTTGTCAGGGTGTGTTGGTCCGCAGTTCCCTGAACTGTCCTTTTCTGATTTGGGCACCGAGGTCACACCGCTGGCCTCACAGTCAGTTGGAAAGCGTCACCTCCTGTTCTGTCTTCGGGACGGTCTGTGGGGACTGGTGACTGGCTGGTGAGGCACCAGCCTGGCATTTCCTCGGGGAAGCGCCCTGCCTCGCTGCAGTCTCTCCGCTGGGCGCCGGCCGCGCGGCCAGCAGCGTCCTGCAGGGGGCGCTCTCGGGCGCCCATCGCAGAAGCCCGTCTTCCCCCAGCGGGTCTCCTCTGTTGGCGCAGGGCCTTCCTGCTCTTTCCTTATTACTTTCCGTGGTTGTGGGATCTGAGCTGGCGCCCCCGTCGGTTCCGACAGCGGCGTTTGTTTCTCCTCTTCTGCTCCCTGGTCTCAGACGCTGGAGGTCGGCCGGTTTCAGTGGCCCTCTCCGGGGACCCGCGTCCGGCACGTGAGTCTTCTCCAGCACGTCTCTGCCACACCGACTTCTCTGCTTTTTTATTCTTTTAGAGATTTCTTCTAGAGATTTCATTTCTTTATTCTTAGAGAGAGGGGAAGGGAAGGAGAAAGAGGGAGAGAAACATCAGCATATGGTTGCTTCTCTCATGTCCTGCACTGGGGACCCGGCCCGCAACCCAGGCATGTGCCCTGACTGGGAATCGAACCCTTGACCCTTTGGTTTCCGGGCTGGCACTCAGTCCACTGAGCACGCCAGCCAGAGCTAAGTTATTTCTTTTCAGCCTGTTGATCAGTTGAAGCACTTCAGCTGGCTAACATCGTATCAAACCTTTCCCATGTTCCCAGAATGAAAAACGTGATTTTATTTTTATTTTGGTGACCCCTTCCTTTGATGCATCTGTGCCTGTTGGAGGTAAGGCACAGACCCCGATGGGCTGCCCCATTTGCTCGGCACGGCCTCCGATGCCTTTGCCCCTCGCACAGACGCACAGACGAGTGAGCTGCTCTCACGGGAGAGAGGAGCTGCGCCCCTCCCAGCGCCTTCCTCATTGATCCGTCTGCTTCCGGTGTCTGTTCTCGGCGGGAGTCCTCTGAGCCCTCGCGCACCCCCTTCTGGCGGGTCTCCTCTTGGAGCTGGTTGTGTCCGGGCAGCTTGTGGACGATCTGGTTGGAGGGACAGAGTGGGGCTGCCCGGAGCCTCCCGCCGGGTCACGTGGGTGCAGGGCTGTGGGGTGCACCCCCTCTCAGGACTTTGTGCTGTAAGGGGTCCCGACAGGCCCCTCTGCCCTGGGCGTGCCGCCCTGCACCGCGTGGTCACCAGGTGAGAAGGGCCGCATGTCCTTCACTTGTGCTTTGGTCGTTGTGTTTCTTGGGGGGGGGGGCTTTACTTTTCCACTTTTTACCCTTTCTGTTGTGTTAAAAAGTACAGCAGGCCCCCACTGGAGTCCTGTGCTGAGCCCCCGTCACCAGACCAAGACCTGACTTAACTGCAGTGTCGGCCCCTCTGGGGAGGGGGCCTCCCGGTCCGTCGGGGACCCCGTCAGCCCCATGCACTTGGTGTCCCCCAAGGAGGGTCCAGACGTACCAGCCCGCTTCCCCCGGGACGACATCCCCCTCCCTCCCTCTGCCTGTGACAGTGTCCTTCTGTGCAGACCCCGAACCCCGCTCCCTGGACCCTGCCCGGTGCACGTCCATTTTTGTTCAAGCTCTCGAGACCTTTAACGCACGGCGGCCGTCCGTGAGTTTCAGGGGAGTGACTCCTCGTGGTCGGATCACGTCTGGGAGCCGCAGTGGTCTGCGCACGCCCCCCACCCTCCGTGCACTGCGTTTCTGTCCCATCCCTGCTCGCCCCCCCCCAGACGTTAAAGCAGAAACATTCTGGGGGAGGAGGGAGTCCTGCCGCCCCCCTTCTGCCCGTCAGACCCTGCGCCTGGGACAGCCTGGGAGCCCTGGCTCTCGTGGGGCCTCCGCAAGTACCGTGCAGTAGACGTGCTGGCCGGGACCGTGGACCTGGGTTGCCGTGACCCACGGTGGCCCTAACAGGCGTGACCTTGGAGTGAGTGTCTTTGCCCTCTGCCTCCGCAGGACCACAAGCAGACGGTGTCACTTCGCGCTCGAACAGGTCGCCCACTTGGGAGTGAAAGGTACGCATGCTGGGCGGAGAGGGGTCTCGGAAGCTCCGTGCGCGTCCCCCGAGTCAGCGCCCCCGTCCTGTGTCAGAAGGGAGCGCGCGTGCAGTGTTCTTCCTGCCAGGCGCTTCCCCTGTTTTCTCGCTGGTCCGGCTGCGCAGAGAGAGCACGTTTAAGTGCCTGAAAGTGGATCACTGCACGCAGCTTTTCCTCTCCTCGTGGACCCCGAGTGACAGCTCTCGCTGCAGAGCCAGCGCAGGGCCGTGCCTGCCGAGACGGGACCCAGCGGGGGCAGGGCTCTGGGAGTGGTCCGGGCGCTGCTGCCACTCGTTTTCCAGTGACGTCTGCTTTGTTCCCTTCTCTTGTTTTAAAAGTGTTGTTTCCAGAAGAAATCATTTTGCAGTCTCCCCAAGTGACAGGCAGTTGGAACCACGCACAGGACACCAGAGACAGTGGGCAGCCCGCCCACCAGGTACAGCCGCGTGAGTCGTGTCTGTGACTCTGAGTGACGGGCATGAAGGGGCTGTGGGTCCCCGACACCCGGAGTCACAGTGAGACCGAAACTAAGACACCTGTCGGAGAGAGTCCGAGCTCACGGTTTCCTGTGCGCCCTGCGAGGCTGCCGCGCGACCGCGTGTGCGGAGGAAAGGTGCGGAGGTGCACACCCGGCGCAGGGTCGGCGTCTGTCATCGGTGTGAGTCAGGGTGTTTTGGTTTCCACTCGGACGGCCCGGTCTTGGTACACACTCACACGGCGCCTGTCTGTGCCGGGCTCGGTCGGAGGCTCTCCCTGTGCTGTCACAAGTAAGATAGTGGTTTTGTTTGAACTTCAACACAGAGTTTTGAATTGCGTCTGACACTCAGAAACCCTGTCACCGATTTGTGGCCTCTGTTTACAAACGCAGGCGGGGTTGGTCACGGCTGGGAGGCCTCCACCCACAGCACCTGCCACACTCGGCGTCGCCCCACCCAGCTGGCGGCTGCTCTGGGGGATGCGTCCTCGGGGGCCAAGCCTTCACGCTTTGAAATGCAGAGCCTGTCTGTGGACTGGCCGGGCCGTGGGGGGACTGGGGGCAGACACACGCCCGAGGCTGGCTCACAGGCACGGGGCCTGCCTTCCGGACACAGCCCGGGACACAGAGCCTCAGACACCGAGCCCCCAGGACCGTGGGGCAGCGCCTCCCGAGAGAGGGAGCAAGTGAGGGCGCCCGTGCCGGCCCGGTCACAGCCCTCAGAGGGGCCCCAAGGAGAGATGCGTGAGGTCACAGGGCAGCGAGCCCTTCTGGGGTCCACAGAGTGCCCCCCTCTTTGTTTCAGCTGAGGACTCAGCAGTCTGGCTTCTGGCCCAGCCGGTGGGTCCTCAGCTCCCTGCGCGCAGGGTCAGGGAAGCAGTGGCCGCCTGGCCTGAGAGGGCTGCATGTCACCTGCGGTTCCTGTGCCACTGCCGAGGGGGCTCCTGCTGGGCCTGGAGGTGCCCTCCCCTCTGTGGCTCGCCCTCATGGGGGTGGGGGGTGGGCTCAGCAGGAGGCGTGTACGCACCAAGTCAGAGAGAAAGCCCTTGTTTTGGCGTCCTTCTCACACTTACGTTTATTTATAAAAGGTGATTCAAAAACAAACAGGCTTTTCTGGAGGAGTTCCAGCCAAGGTGGAGGTGGAGGTAGAAACCCTTCACTTCCTCACACAACCGAAAGGAGGGCAACAGCCAGTCTCAAACCCATAAACCAAAATCACCAGGAAATCAAACTGCACGGAACTCTGACAACCAAGGAATTAAAGGAAAAACCAACCAGGACAAGCAGATGGGCGGACCCCAAGGGGCAGGCAGACTCAGAAAAACCGTGGGGAGGTGGCAGAGGGGCAGAGCCGCGTGGGAGGGACTGACTTAAGGGGAGACTGAGGCTCGGCTGACTGTGGGCTCAGCTGGGCTGCAGCTGGGCCGGGAGACACTGCCGCCCGAGGACCTGTTGGGAAGCGCACCAGGGACCAGCGGGCGGCCGCACTGCTCCCTCTGCGGCCCCTCCCCCAGAGGCAGCCTGGCAAGGGGGTTGCCTTGCCCCTTATACCTTACCAGCTGTGCCAAGACGAAGAAATATGGCCCAAATGGAAGAACACAGAAAAACCTCAGAACTAAGCGATGAGGGGATTGCCAACCTAACCGATTGGGGAATTTAAAGCCCTGGCAATGAAAATGCTCACAGAGTTGATCGAGCTTGGTTGAAAAATGAAAGAACGAATGCAAGATACCCAACGTGAGATAAAGCATCATGTTCAGGGAACCAACAGGGACAGGAAGGAAACCAGGACTCAAAGCAACAGTTTGGAACAAAAGGAAGAAATAAACATCCAACTGAATCAGACGAAGAAACAAGAATCAAAAAAATGAAGAGGGGCTGCGGACTCTCTGGGACAACATGAAATGTTCCAGCATCCGAACCATGTTGTTCTCCAGAAGGAGAACAGCAGCAGCAAGAAATTGAAAACTTAAATTTGAGCAAATGATGAAAGGAAACTTCCTCAGTCTGGCAAAGGAAATAGACCTCCAGGAAATCCAGGAAGCTCAGAGAGTCCCAAAGAAGGTGGACCCAAGGAAGCACACTCCAAGGCACATCATCATTACATTACCCAAGATGAAAGAGAAGGCGAGAATCTTAAAAGCAGCAAGAGAAAAGGGGACAGTCACCTACAAAGGAGCTCCCATCAGACTGTCAGCTGATTTCTCAAAAGAGACCTTACAGGCAAGAAGGGGCTGGAAAGAAGTATTCCAAGTCTTGGAAGGCAAGGACCTCCATCCAAGATTGCTCTATCCAGCAAAGCTTTCATTTAGAATGGAAGGGCAGGTAAAGTGCTTCTCAGATAAGGTCAAGTTCAAGGAGTTTATCATCACCAGGTCCTTGTTATATGAAATGTTAAAGGGACTTGTCTAAGAAAAAGATAAAAAATATGAACAATAAAATGACAATGAGCTCACAAGTATTAACAAATGAACCTAAAAGAAAAAAACTAAGCCAACAACCAGAACAGGAACAGAATCACAGAAATGGAGATCACATGGAGGGATTTCAGTGGGGGGGGGGGAGGAATAGGGGGGAAGGTACAGGGAAGAAAAAGCACAATTGGTGGGCATAGAATAGACGGGAAGACATAAAAGATGGTACAGAAAACAGAGGCCTCAGAACTTCCATGTACAGCCCACGGTCGTGAACTAAGGAGGGAGAGTGCTGGAGGTTTGGGGTGGAGAAGGGGAAAAGTGGGAAAACTAATAGCATTATCAGTAAAAAATACTTTAAAGAAAGAAAACCAGACTTTTCAGTAGCTTTTCATCAGGTACTCTGTATTTTCCTTGTGTTGTAGGGGCTGTGTGCCCTGGGACCTGCCAGGGGCCGCCCAGTAGCTGCGGCCAGAGCCGCGTGGGTGGGTGTTCGTGTTTTCTCTGTGAACTGGGCCCATGTGAACACACAGCTTTTTCTCAAACCTTTTTTTTTTTTTTGGACGGTCATTTCCAGAACAGGAAAGCTGTGAAGGACCAACCTAAGCCTGTCACCGAGTCAGAGCAGGCAGGTGCCCAGGACACGCTGGGGCCGGCGGCCTTCGCCTCAGGGATGAGCTGCCTGGGTGCGTATCACCCTGTCCGAGTGGCACGGTCCGGGACGAGCGGGGCCGTGACAGTGTGGGACTGGGGCGAGGACGGACATGCAGTCGGGACTGGAGACTCGGGGTTGTGGCTGCTCCCTTTGCCCCCGTCAGGTGGGTCGGTGGCATCTCGGGGGACACCTCCGTGAAGAAGGGAGGACGGTGGACACCCCGTGTTCGCTCCTGGGCGGCTCGGACGTGGCGAGACGCACCGCGTCATGGCGTCACCGCAGGGGCTTCCCACCGGCTGTCGCTGCTGGCGCGGCGTCCGTGCTGACCCTGCTCCTCTGCTTCTGGCCCAGGAAACGGGACGCAGGCCGAGGGGGCCAGAGAGGAGTTTTTCAACCCCCTGCTCAACGAGAACCAGAAGCTGGCCGTGAGGAGGATTCTGAGTGGCGACTGCCGCCCCCTCCCGTACATTCTCTTTGGGCCTCCGGGCACCGGGAAGACGGTGACCATCATCGAGGCCGTGCTGCAGGTGACGGCAGGAGGCCACGCGCTGGCAGCGCGTGTGTCGGGGACTCTGTTGTGTGCGCTGTAGCATCAGAAAGAGCTCCAAAACCTGCTTCCCTCGGGTTAGCCGGTCGGCCATGTGTTGTCGCTGGGCTGTGTGGGTGTGAAAGCCTGTCCCCTGGGGTGGGGGTCGCTTGTTCTGAGAGTCACAAGCCAGTCGGCCCAGCACAGAATCCTGCAGAATGGGGTCCCCTGCACAGTGGCTGCACTGTGGCCTCAAGACGTCTGCTGTCCCCACTTAGTCACGGCGCGGACACGGTGTGCGCCTCCTGTCTTTGCACTGCTCGGGCCTCAGCTTAGCAAGTGTCTGTGGAGCCCGCAGCAGCCACCCCGCGGGTGGGCAGGCGGGCGGGCGGTGGTTCGCGCCCTGAGGTGTGGCGTTCTCCCACTGCTCTTGTGGTGTGTGGGCGTCCCCGCCCCGTGGCTGACTGTCACACTGTGTCTCTGCGCCCTGACCAAGGTGTACCACGCCTTGCCGGACAGTCGGATTTTGGTGTGTGCGCCCTCCAACAGCGCAGCCGACCTCGTGTGTCTGCGGCTGCATGAGAGCCAGCAGCTGCGGCCGGGCACCATGGTCCGCGTGAACGCCACCTGCCGGCTGGAGGAGGTGAGCCACCGACTGGCTGTCTCTGTTCCTGTGCCGTGCCGGCCAGCTCTCCGCACAAGTCTCCCGCTCTGGCCCCATCGTGCTGGTCCGGCTGCTGTGCTTACAGGAGGGGGTCCCGCTTAGCCAGAGAGACCGGCCCTAGGAGCGAGGGGCACCGCTTGGTGGGGGCGGGGGGCTGCAGGCTCAGATGTTATGTTCACAGCTCTGGGCCCATAAATTGGGCTGCATTGAAGGGAAAAGACAAATATTCTTTAAAGACTTTATTTATTTACTTTAAGAGTGAGGGGAAGGTAAGGGAGAGAGAGGGAGACAAACATCAGTGTGTGGTTTGCCTCTCGTGTCCCCTGCTGGGGACCTGGCCTGAAACCCAGGCAGGTGTTCTGCCTGGGAATCCAACTGGCAACCCTTTGGTTCGCAGGCCGGTGTTCAATGCACTGAGCCACACCAGTTGGGGCGGAAAGATATTTTGAGAGAACAGTTTCAGATCGTTGCTGAGTCGTGACTGTGACGTAGGACAGTTTGTCTTAGAGTTCCTTCCACCGTCGTGACTGTCCAGCTGAGAGACAGTAAAATCTGAAAGCAAACCGCTCCCCCAGACGGTCACCGAGGCCATCAAGGCCTACTGCAAGGACGGGGAGGACATCTGGAAGGCCTCCCGCTTCCGGGTCATAATCACCACCTGCAGCAGTGCCGGGCTCTTCTACCAAATCGGAGTCCGGTGAGTGCCCCGGGGGCGGGGGGCCTTGTGTGGAGACCCCAGAGGGGACGGGGCCCCGAGGCTGCTGAGAAGGCGGTGGCAGAGGACGCCCAGACAAGAGGCAGAAAGGACCAGGTTTTGGGGGGATGGGAGGTGCCAAGGAGGCAGCAGCAGGCGTGGCGTGGGGGGGGCCGCAGCTGCGGGAAGCCGAGCGGCTGTGAAGGAGGACAGTGCTGTCCCATAGAGAGGACTCTGAGTTGAGGCAGGGTGTCCGGCCTTTCAGCGTCTCTGCTGGAAGAAGCATTGTTTTGCACCACACGTGAAATGCATTGTGACACGTGGTCCCAAAAGCTCATTGTGTGTTAAGTGAATGTATGACTCTGTGCTGGGCCGCAGGTGGGACACCCCTGTCCAAAGTCTAAGCGCTCGTGTTCAAAGGAAGACACGTAGGGTTGGTCTTCTCAGCAGGAGCTGGGACACAGAGTGGAAAACAAGTGTGCTGCCCTCATCCTGCCAGGGGCGGGGGGTGTCTGTGGGGGACACTTCTGCGGTGAGAACCTGAGATGCCCAAATTCAGACCCCGAGTCTGAGTGGACTGATGGCCAGCGCTGCCCCCTCAGGCTCCCAGGAGCAGGGGCCCCACGCCGGGGCCTACGACTCATGGGCTGGGGGACCTGGAGCCCCAGCTCGGCCCAAGGCTGTCCTGGCTGTGGCTCTGTGTGTCGTGTCCCGGCTGCCAGTCTCCTTGGGTGCCCTCGTGGGTGTGGAGGGCGTGAGTCAGACTCGGCAGCGGATGGAGGCAGCTTCACGAGTGGGGGAGTGTCACCCAGAGCCCCACCGTGACCAGCTCTGCCTCATTCCGCCTGCCACGGTGGAAACCAAGGCCGGGAGAGGCGCCAGGATGCCCAAGTCACCCAGCTACTGAGCAGGGAGGCAGGGCCTGCAGCCCAGGCCTGTGTCTGCAGCGGGTGGGCGAGCAGCCCCCAGCCTGCACCCCGGGCAGCCCTAGCCACGCCGCACCACTTGGTCCCTTCGCCTCTTTTCCTCCGAATCGGGCACAGGGTCTGGTGGAGCCTCCCGGGCTGGCCCAGCCAGCACCCTGGGGACTCTGACAGAGGTGACCACTTAGGTCTTTGGCTCTAGAGTCGGACACTTCACGCACGTGTTTGTGGATGAAGCCGGACAGGCCAGCGAGCCGGAGTGCCTCATTCCCCTGGGGCTGGTGTCGGACGTCGGCGGCCAGGTGAGGCACTGTCGTGCCTGTCTCCCTCTGGCTGGGACGCAGCCTCACCAGGGGGCTGAGTCCAGGCCCAGGGGCTGCGCTCCTGCCTCCCGGCCACCACGCTCCACCCGCGGGGTGACGCACAGCAAGTGCCCGTCCTGTGTCACAGATCGTCCTGGCCGGAGACCCCATGCAGCTGGGGCCGGTCATCAAGTCCAGACTGGCCATGGCCTACGGGCTGAACGTGTCCCTGCTGGAGAGACTGATGTCCCGGCCAGTGTACCTGAGAGATGAAGATGCCTTCAGTGCCTGCGGCGCCTACAACCCCTTGCTGGTGAGCTCAGACCCCGGGGGGTGCGGGTCCCTGAGGGGGGGCCAAGGCGGGTGGACCAGGGTGCCCGGTGCACCCTGGGCTCCCAGCCAGCCCAGGACACTGGGGAGCCTGCGCTTCTCGGAGCCGTGGGGCCCGTTCCAGGGCCCGCACCGTGCAGGACTGCTGAGCTTGGCCACAGAGCAGGAGGTGACGTGAGGGCAGGCCGTCCCCTGGAGAGGAGAGAGGGCGTGGGAGGCGGGGCACAGGCCGGCTGTGCACTGGCGCCGCCTGACTGTGGAGAGGTGTGGCTGCCCGGCTGTGTGTCTCTGGACCTTGGGCCGGGCCGGGCAAGGGCAGCATGGGCCCCCAGGTGCCTGCAGGCCACGTGCCAGGCCTGGCTTCCTGTTTTCCTGACAGTTCGCTCTTTCTATGAAAACGTGGCCCGTTCAAAAAGTGACTTGAGGTACTGAGATCACTTTCTACTCAGGTGGCAGAAGAGAGACCAGGAGGGGAGACCTGGGTTGTGGGGTCTTGTCCTTTGTCCCACTGCAGGGGCCCAGGTGAGCAGGGTGACTGTGGCCTGGCCCCTGCCCCCTGTCCCTATAGGTGACGAAGCTCGTGAAGAACTACCGGTCACACGCGGCCCTGCTGGCCCTGCCCTCCCGGCTGTTCTACCACACGGAGCTGGAGGTCTGTGCGGACCCCAAGGTGGCGGCCTCCTTGCTGGGCTGGGAGAAGCTGCCCAGGAAAGGCTTCCCCCTCGTCTTCCACGGCGTCAGGGTGAGCTGCGGCCCCGTCGCGGCCGCGGGGATGGGGGTGCCCTGCTCGGGCCAGTGGCCTCGGTGCAGCAGGGGAGAGGGGCTGCAGCTCGTGCCCCGTGGGGGCACCGTGGGTGCTTTCAGAAGTCTGGGGCCAGCCTAGGTTTCCATGGCTCAGTCGTCCCGTGAACCCCAAGGTCCCTGGCGGGCTCCCTGTCGGGGACACGCCCGGGCTGCAGGCTCCGCTCCTGGCGGGGCGTGTGCAGCAGGCCGCCGACCAGTGTTCTCTCCACCTTTCTCTCCCTTTTCCCGCCTCTCGAGTGAAAATAAAATAAACCTTCAAAAAAGTAAAACTCCATAGCCAGATAGGTCTGTCTCAGTAAATGTTCTGAGGACAAACCAGAAAGTTGACACTCTCTGTCCAGGGTAGCGAGGCCCACAAGCGTCTTTGAAACGTGTCCGTGGGGTCAGTTGTTCAGCTTTTCCGTGCCCTGACCGGGCTCCGTCTGCACAGCGCTCCCGCCATGGGGACCCAGGTGGGGTGTCCCGGTCAGCGTCTCCTCACCAGGGCTCCTGCAGGGTCTGACGGCCGTGCCCGGTCCCCGCGTCCGCGCTCTGCGGTGTGGCACGTGCTGTTGGCGGCTGCTCACCTTTCTCGGTGCACAGTGTCCCGCACAGTGTCGTAAGTCAGTGTGAACCTCACATCGACACGCCCTGGCCGCAGGGCTCGGTGGGCGGGAGTGTCCGCACAACCAGGGGTCGCAGGTTGCCTTCCCGGTCAGGGCACCGCCTGGGCCGTGGGCTCGGTCCTAGTTCGGGTGCAACTGGTCGATATTTCTCCCCTCTCCCCCCTCCCTGTCCTCTCTCCGAAGTCAGTAAGCGTGACCTCAGGTGAGGACAAAGTTAACTGAAATAATAAGTCCCACCTGGTGAGAGATTATTGTCTCCTCTTTCCTACTCTCTGGCATCTCTTTGTCCTCTTTATTCTTTGTCATTTTACTTTGGATACATTTCTTATAAGCAGCTAGTTTTTTTCTTAACATTTTATTTACTTATTTTTAGAGAGAGGGGAAGGGAGGGAGAGAGGGAGAGAAACATCAAGGGGCTGGTTGCCTCTCGCACGCCCCCTACTGGGGACTGGCCTGCAGCCCAGGCCTGTCCCCTGACTGGGAATCAAACTGGCGACCCTTTGGTTCACAGGCCCGCACTCAGTCCACTGAGCCGTACCAGCCAGGGTAAAGCAGCCAGTTTTTCTATCTCTTCCCATTGGAGAGTCTGTTGCTAGTGAGATCAGCCAGTCCCACCTCCAGGTTCTGCCTCCACCTCATCTTCCCCTCTGTTGGCTGTTCCCTCCTGCTCCGCGTGTGCGGTCCTGCAGCTGAAGGCCGGGGCTGCCCTGGGCTCTCGGGGGTCGGCGCGTTCCCGTGGCTGCAGCGACAGACCAGGCAGTGGGACGGGCTGCGCTGGCCGTTTCCGGGGCACAGCTCAGTGGTGCTAAGTGTGGTCACTTTGCCACCAGTTTCAGGCCCCCACCTGCCCACGTGAACGGTCCCTCAAACCCTCACCTCCGCCCGGCCCCTGGCACTGCCGTCTGCCTCTGTCTCCACGGCTCTGATTCCGCAGGGGCCCTGAGTCATTGTGGCCACACGGTGCTCACGCCCTGCATCACCGAGCACACGCGGTCTCGTGTGTCCAGGTCGCCTTCCTCTTGAGTCCGAGCGACCCCCTGCCGAGTGGACGGGCTCCTCCCGCCTCACAGATGCTGGGGCCTGTGCAGGCCCCGAGTCGGGTCCTTCGGGCAAACGCCCGGACGGAAATGCCGGGCTGCACGGTGCTCCTGCTCTGCCGTTCCGAGGGCGCCGTGCACCCTCTCACCCTCCCGAACTGGGGCTGTAGCTTCTCAATGTCCTCGCTGGTGTGGGGCTGGAGCCATCCCGCAGGGCGTGAGCAGAGCTCACGGGTTTGCGCTTGCCTGACACAGCGGTCCCCTGGGTGGTGGCGTGCCTGCAGTTCTGATGCAGGGGGGCCACATGCTCACGCATCTCGGGGCAGCCCGCCTGAGCGGTGGGGTGGCCCGAGGGCCCCTGCCTGCCCCACTGACCCCCGCTGGCCTCTGCCTCCTGGGCTGTGCCCTCTGCTCCCCTTTGGTGGCTCCCAGGGCTCTGTTCCCAGGATGCCCTTTCCTGTGTCCCCACACGAGATGTCCCCCCCCGCCTTGTTCCCCTGGCACTGGTGCAGCTGCGACAGTTCCGTGGGCACGCCCTGTCACCCCGATGGGTTCCCAGTCTCTGTGCCTCGTTCACGGCCCTGAACGAGCGTTTTCTGATCAGTGAGGCCGGTGACGACCTGCCTCTCTCCTGTCTCCCCGACTGTCCAGGGCAGCGAGGCGCGGGAGGGGCGGAGCCCGTCCTGGTTCAACCCGGCCGAGGCCGTGCAGGTCCTGCGCTACAGCTGTCTCCTCACCAGGAGCCTCTCCAGCCAGGTGTCCGCACACGACATCGGCGTGATCACGCCCTACCGCAAGCAGGTGGGGCCTGCTCCTGTGCGTTCTTCAGTGCTTCCTTGTCCACAGAGGCCGGGCAGAGACCAGGGAACAGAGACAGGGTCACGTGGCACCAGGTCCCTCCTCTCCTTCCATAGCCTGTCCCTGGGCCCACCCCTCACCTCCCGGACTCCCAGGGGCCTGCCGCACCCTGGTCTCCTGGGGCTGGGAGTCCGGGCTCAGGCTGCTCGTCTGTCCCCTGCGTCCTCACTGCATCATGGCCACCCTGTCCCCTGTCTGCAGACACCTGCCCGAGCCCTCACTGTATTGCCCAGAGGTGGGGGCGGGGCTTCCCGTGGGTTGTCAGGACTTTGGGAACCTTCCCATGTGTTTACTGGCCGCCGGTTTTTGTCAGTTCTCTGGTCCAACACAAGTGCCTGCTTCCCCTCAGTCTCCAGTGCTCTCCCAACGGCCGCGTCACGGCTCCGCCCAGTTCCCCTTGTACTGTTCGCGTCCCTGGAGTCCCATACACGGGCCGCGTGCTGTTGGCGTGCTCTGTGGCCCTGTGTTTGGTCTCTCATCTGAGAGGCCCTTCCCCGTCCTGCGCTGGGGCCTGTTTTCCTGCTTTGCTCTGAAGGTGTGCTCGTCCGGGCATGGGGGGAGTTGGGCCGTGCGACGCACACCAGGCCCACAGGGCACAGGCGCTCGGCCGCTGCCCCCCTGGGCTGCCCCCGGGTGTCACCTTGGTGATGTCCCGTGAATTTTAAGGATTCCACCTTTTATCGAAAAAACGTGTTTTCTCCCTGGCAACAAGTTATCGGCGCACCCTAACTGCTTTGGTTTGGGCTTTGGCCGCCTGTGCTCCTGACGCCACTCAGCCCTTGTGCGTCTTTGGGCCACTGGCTGGCGCAGGCACAGGCCCCGGGGTGGGGGGGTCGCCAGGGGAGGCAGGTGCTGTCCTGGTGAGAGCTGAGCCCTCCACCCCACACACTCCGCCCGAAGTCGGGGTTCGGTTCCGGTCGGGTCAGCTTTGAGGAAACAGGATTTAGAGTTGAGAGGCCGCACCACCCTCCGGGTCACCCTTGCTGGGGTCGAGGGTCACAGTGAGTCAGGGTTGTAAAGCTGCATCTTCTGTCTTTCTATCTGCTTCAAAGGTGGAAAAAATCAAAATTCTTCTGAGGAACGTGGATCTGATGGACATAAAGGTTGGGTCGGTCGAGGAGTTCCAAGGACAGGAGCACTTGGTCATCATCATCTCCACTGTAGGTGGTCCTGTCCTTCGTGGGGCAGCGGTGTCTGGGGTCGCTTGCATGTTGGCGGATCTGCAGCCCATGCGGGTGGAAAGTGGCACGGGCGTGGGGCCTGCAGGGAGGCGCCCTCACAGCCGCCATGACAGTCAGCAGAGCGCAGGGAGGGGACCGGGAGGGGGCCAGGGCCAGGCGGAGAACGTGCTGGGCGAGCGGGCACCCAGGGAGGCGAAGTCTGCCCCTCCACCCTGTGTCCCGCCCTCAACGGGCCCTGCCGTGCAGTGCCACCCGCAGGTGGGTCAGCAGGGGGGTCAGCGCGGTCCACCGGAGGAACAGCCAGGCCCTGAAACCCTGCGTCTGTCCCAGAACCCGGAACCCGGTGCCCAGAGCCGCAGGCCCTGCTGCTCAGACTCCACCCCTCCTTGGGTCCACCGATGTTTGATGTTTCTAAATGCTTTTAAATGTCGCAATTTACTTTCCATGACAGAACATCTCAAAATGTTCCATTTTTCTTCTCCTTTGTGTTTTTTAGGTACGATCGAATGAAGATGAATTTGAAGACGATAGGTATTTTCTGGGTTTCTTGTCCAACTCCAAGAGATTCAACGTTGCGGTCACCAGACCCAAAGCCTTGCTCATCGTTCTGGGAAACCCTCATGTGCTAGTCAGAGTGAGCGGCCGCAGGGGCGGGGCCCGCGTAGGGGCGGGGCCTGGGCCGTAGTGGGGCGGGGCCTGGGCCGTAGTGGGGGGGTTGCACCGGCCCTAAGGCCCCGCCCCCTGCACCCCGCAGGACCCCTGCTTCGGCGCTCTGCTGGAGTACAGCATCACAAACGGCGTGTACACGGGCTGCGACCTGCCCCCCGAGCTGCAGTCCCTGCAAAAGTGAGCCTCCCGCCCGCCGCTGTGGCTCAGGTGGAGCACCCTCCCGTAAACCAGAAGGTGGCAGGTTCAATCCCCGGTCGGGGCACATATGGAGACAAACAGTCCATGTTTCCCTCTCACATCAACGTTTCTCTCTCCCTCTCTCTTTAAAAGCAATGAAAAATTGTCCTCGGATGACGATGATGATGGATAAATAAATAAAGTGAGCCTCCCACCTGGGCCTCGGTCCTGCCCCTGGGTCAGGCCCTCGGGGCAGTGGTGGGGTTGGCCTGGGTTGCAGCCCCTGCCAGTCCCTTCTGGCCAAGATCTGGCCCCTTGTGCAGACCCTCAGGGGCCGTTCCTGGGGAGGGCTGAAAAGGTGTGCATGTGGGGCGTGTCCCCGTGAACAGCAGCTGGCTGGGGGCCCGGACCCCCCCCCCCCCAGTCAGGCCCTGTGCCTCGCAGGCAGGGAGTGGCCCCTGGGTCGTCTGTGTAGGAGACAGGCTGAGCCTGGTCTGGGGGACACCAGACTCCACCCTCCACAGGCACACGAGGGGACACAGACTGGGGACAGTGAGGCTGGGGACCCTCAACCCACTGCAGCTGCAGTGTCCCCGGGGCCTGGCGGGGCCTCTGCCCACCGTCTCTGGGTAGGACCGGCCCCCGTGGCTTCCTGCCTGGGGTCAGGCTCCTCTTACATAGTCTGGGCCCGAGGACACAGGGAGGACCTGCCTGGCCATGACGACACTGTCCGAGGCCATGGGGTCGGGGCGTCGAGAGCTCAGTGGGGCCCTGGCCATTTACCCCGGGCTGGGTCGTGGGGCAGGGGAGAGGCAGGGGCGCCAGCTCCTGGTGCGGCGGTGGGAGGTCCGGGCCAAGGTGCCATTCGCAGGGGTGGCCTCGTGCCTGGGCCTCCAGCTGGAGGCACCTCGGAAGTGGCTGGTGTGAGGGTCCTGGGCTGGCCCCCAGCCCTTACAGGTTTCCAGAAGCTTCTCCAGAGACACCCAATGTGTCTCCTAACCTGGCATCTCTGTAACCCCTTTCTTAGAGAGGCAGCCCTCTTCTGTCCCCCAGAGCTGGGGTCCACCCAGGGACTGGCCGGTGCCACCCACCTGCCTACACCCTGGGCTGCAGCTGCACAAGTGTGCACCAGTGGAGGCCTTGTGGTCATTCTGGGCCCTAGGACGTCGTCTGGGTGTTGCTACTGCATCTGGTGTAAGTCCTCAGCCAGGCAGTGGGCTGGCCAAGAAGTCTGCTGCGTGAAATAAGACACTTTTCATTTTTACCAAAAAGTATGGATTTGGATGTTTCGGGTACGTCGGCTCCCTCCCTCTCGGCTTCAGTGGGGAGAGGCCAGGAGCGCTGCTGCCCGGCGTCCGGTGCACGAGACGGCCCCGTGGCAGGGAGTTCTGTGGCCCCGTGTCGGCCGTACCAAGAAACTCCACAGCCCCCTTCTGACACGTTCGCTCAGTCACAGCACCTTCTCCCTGCACGGCACACGTCTTTTTGCATTTCAGTTGCATTTTTATTTTTCTCAAAGTAATAAAGCAAAATACACTGAAAATGTGTATTCCCACCTTTGATATTTGAAAGTCTGCACAAAACCCCACCAATTTTGGTAAGTTTTAAATGCACGCTGATAGGACAGCTGTCACAATGTAAAAATTGTTAGGAATGAAGAAGACAACTGAGCACTACTAGAGCAGCTGCCCCGAAAAACCCAAATGAACTTGGCCGACCCAGCTACAGGCAAACTCCATAAAGGGCTGAGCAGGGTGGTGCACCCAACCTGGAAAGTGGTCCCCGAGCTGCCCACCTTCCTGGGGGTGTGACCTGGAGCTGGGCTGCGACCCTGCCGGCACATTCTTCCCGGTTTTCCCTCCTCGGTACCAGAGCTGCCAGAGCCCATTCACCCAAATGAAGAGGAATCAAGTGCGGCCACAGCCGTCATCCGTTCTTTTGACACGCACGTGTCAAAAGCCAGGTGTTAAGCCCAGACCCCGAATCCTGCAGCCTGGCTCCCCCAGTGGGGTCCGTCCCCCAAGACCCGACCCAGGAAATGTCCTTGCAGTCGGGGCCACCACAGCATTCAAATGGCTGGCGTCACCCTGTTCTCAGTCCCTCCCCAGGTGTCCTCTGGGGGAGGGGACATAGGCAGAGCTGGGCTCTGGGGTCTCCGCAGGATCAGGCCCCCATGCAGGATGTCACCAAGGGCTTCCGCTCTGCCCGAGGACAGCATTCAAAGGGGCTGCCACATGGTGGAGCCAGGCTGCAGGATTCGGGATCCTGGCCTCAGCTCTGCCGGCCCCTGACCCCATCACGTCTGGTTTGGCTGCTTCCATCTGCTGGCGTTGCCTGCTGCGTGTGCACTTGAGTGAGTGTGCTGAGCACTCGGCGTGTCCCCAGGGCAGCCCACACTTGCTAAGGCCCAAAATGCATCACAGAAAACAGGTGTGTGGGAAGCAGCCTAACCACCCAGTCAGGTAGGTCCGATTCCGTCACAGGGCAGAGAGGGGCAAGTGAGCAGGGGGTGCTGCAGTCAAGGTGGGTTCCTGCAGCACAGACCACACTTCCTCGCCTAACACGTGCGGGGTGACGGCCTCGTCCCAGCTACACTGGACCAAGCCCTTGCAGAGCATCTGTGGAAAAGTAAACGCGACAAATGCCCATGTCGTGGTGGCAGGGCAAGGAGGAACTAGGCACGTGTTTAGAGCCGGGCAAAGCCAGGGTCATGGAGCCACCAAGGGACCCCCTACAGAGGAGGCGAAGACCCCTGCTGGCCTAGGAAACACCGTGTCTGTCCGTAGCGCTGGCTTTCTGAGAACTCCCTGCCCCCAGTGACCTGCAGATGGTGACCAGTGACCCGCACGGGGCCAGGCAGCATGGAGTCTGCCACGGCTGGGCCCCGTGCAGCGGGCTCCTGGGTGGGCAGCCTCAGCAGAGGAATGAAGTGGGGGCCAGGGCCCGTCTGGGAGGGACGCAGGGGAGGCCGCCGAGATGATGCCCATCACCTCGCCTCACAAAAGAGATCCCGAACTGCCAATATTAAAGAAGGGTTTTGCCCTGGCTGGTGTGGCTCAGGGGCCGTCAGATGGCCCGTGTCAGGGCGCAGGCCTGGGCTGCAGGCCAGTCCCCAGTAGGGGGCGCACAAGAGGCAACCACACACCGATGTTTCCCTCCCCTTCTTCCTCCCTACCCCACCGTCTAAAAATAAATAAAATCAAATATTTTTAAAAAGAAAAGAAGGGTTTTGACTACACGAAAATGAAGGATTTCTACTCAGACCCGATGGATGCACCAGGCCGACAGGGTACTCGGGGGACTGGGGACAGCTGACGGACAAAGGAAGGTCCAGGAACTGGAGAGAGACAAGCGTCTGGAGAGGGGCCGACGGCCGGAGCGGGCGCCCAGCCCTCCGGGAGGCAGAGGCGGGCGGGCGGCGGGGACTGTCGCGGGGACAGAACCCCCTGCGCACGGACGCGGTGCGGCCTGGCCCTTCTGGAAAGCAACAGGAAGACCCGAAGCCGTTTCACTGCGGGTTTCCCGCTGTCTGCGCCAGGTTGCGGGGGCGTCGGGTGCCTGCGGGGTCTGCGCGTGAGCCGGAGGCGGCCTCCCTGCTTTGTAACTGCGGGCGAGAAACCTGGTGGCCGCGGGGGCGAGCGTGACCGGGAAACACGCAGGAATCTGAGACGCACTGGACCCCCAAGGACCTGCCGGCCTCCGCCGCCCGCTGGCAGACTCGCTCCTGCTCGGCGACCAGGGCTGCAAACGCCGGCGCTCAGACGCGTCTGCTGGGTGAATGACTGAGCGCGGTTCAACCCCCAGCCACGCGACTTTTTTGCAAAGCTGGCACGCGCATTTCCCGTCACCGCGGCCGGGGACCCGCGGGAGCGAACGCGGAACCTCGGCGAGCCTTGCCGGCAGCCGCGCTGTGCTGAGACCTGAGTGGGGTCGCAGTTGTTCCGCCGGCGACAGCGGAATGGCTGGCAGGGGGTGTCGGGATGGGAGGGTGAAGGGCAGGAAGGCGGCAGGGAACCGCGGCCAGAAGCACCGGGCCCCCAACGCCCACCCCGGGGGCCGGCTGCGCCGCGCGGCGGGAGTGACCGCGGGGTGACGGCCGGAGGTCAGGACGGGGGAGCGGGCGGCCCCGCGGGCAGGTGATGTGGGGACGCCGGCGTGCGCGGTGGGCACCGCCGGGGGCGGAGAGGAAAGACGCCCCGAGCCGGCGAAAGGGTGCCCGGTCCCTGCTCCTTGTCCGCACCACCCCCGAGTTTGGGGGGGCTCGGCACCCACGGTGGCGGCCAGGCTTGGGGTAGCGAAGAGGCGACACCGCAGGACATAGGACGAGGAGCCCGGTCCTCCGCGGGCTGGGCGATTCGGGCCGGGGATGCGGCGGGTCCGGCCCCAGCCCTCCCCTCCCCCGGTCCCCGCTGGCGCCCCCGCCCGGGAGGGTAGCCCCGACTCAGCCTCGCCCGCCGTCCCCGGTCCGGAGGGAGAGGAGAAACCAGTCCTCGTTCATTCATCTTCCTGAATTTAAATCTTTTTTGCAAAGTCATCGCCGGCGCCGCATTCTGCGTGGCGGGAGGGGGGGCGGAGCCAGGCCGCGAGTTGCCGCCGGTAAACAGCCCCCTCCCCGCGGCGGGAGTGGGGCCGCGGCCCCAGCCCGGGACACCGCCGCCCCCGCCGGAGGACACGCCAGGCCAGCCGGGCTGCAGCCCAGCGGGGGCGGCGGGGCCCGGCGGCCCGACCCCTGCCCGCGGGGGCAGCGGCGACGGCGGCGCGCCCCCCACCCCGCCATCCGTCCCGCGCCCCCTGCGCCCCTCCCCGCGCGCCCCACCCCCGGCGCCGCGGTCATTGCCCCGGCGCCCCTCCCCCTGCCCGGCGCCCCCGCGCCCCCCGGCGCCCCCCGCGCCCCGCCCCTCGCCCGCCCCCCATGCACCACCTCCTGGAGCAGCCCGCGGACATGGCGACGGCGCTGCTGGCGGGCGAGAAGCTGCGTGAGCTCATCTTGCCCGGCGCGCAGGACGACAAGGCGGGCGCGCTGGCCGCGCTGCTGCTGCAGCTCAAGCTCGAGCTGCCGTTCGACCGCGTGGTCACCATCGGCACCGTCCTGGTCCCCATCCTGCTGGTCACCCTGGTCTTCACCAAGAACTTCGCAGGTGAGGCCGCCGGGAGGGGCTCGCAGGCGCGAGGGGCGCGTCCTC